TGTGTGTGTGTGTGTGTGTGTGTGTGTGTGTGACACCTTAAGGACACTTTAATGAAAGACACCAGTTCGGTGGATGAGTTATAAAAGGCTGAGAAAAGTGTGGAGTTATTCTTCTTAGAAATTCCTCTTGGGTTTTGGGCTGTCTCCAAATTTCCACACTAACACAAATCATAAGGATGTTTGCCGATGACTTTCTGCTAGCTGGCAAGACTGTGGTACCTCATTCTGAACCTACCTGGAACAAAACCAGCCCTTCTACCAGAGTTTAACTTTCATCACTCCATCCAAATAAATGCACAATAATATTTCCATTACTAAACTGTTGAACTGGCTGCTCTAAGACTGAGGATGTTTCATACTGAACTTCTGTTTTCTGAGCAGGCTCTATAGTCTTTACTCCAATGTACTGACATAATACATAAATTATTATTTCCTGTCAGTGGAATATTTAGTCTCTTCTGCCCCAATCACAACCTTATCACGTTTTCCTCTTTGGTATTTCTTCCAGCAGCACTCATGCAAGCTTGCATTCCTGTTTTTTTCTTTTTCCCAAATTTGTCACAATGCATTGTTTTCTATAGCTTCTGCTTTGCTTAATTAATTTCCAGGGCAGAATTCCCATTACCCGATCATTAAACATCCACCAACCAATCAGTTTAGTTTGAACATTTTTATTCTGTTTTTGTTCAAATAGGATAAAAGGTTATCCACTTTGTGTTACACAATCAAATATCTTTCAACCAGCATAAATGGAATATAGTATTCATGGTCCTTCTTCCATTGATATATATTGTATGTGTCTGATTTATATTGCAAGTAAAATGGAAAAAAAAAAGTTCATGAACAGTATCTCATCAGGGTCCAAGTCCAGGATTGGTGATTCGATCCACAGCCCCTCCACAAGCCACAGTATCCTTGGGCAAGACACTGAATTGAAGTTGGTCCCGATGACAGGCGAGCACCTTGAACAGCAGCTCCAACCGTCATTGGTGTGTGTGTGTGTGTGTGTGTGTGTGTGTGTGTTTAGAAAAACTGTACAGTGTTTTCAGAACCCTGAAGGCATGCTCCGATATAAAATGTTCCTGCCTTTACAGGATGGCAACAAATCAAATTAAAAACAGCTACAAAAATGACAATAGAAACAGAGACCCATGCGAATTAATGTAAAAGTTACTTTTTAAAATCATGATAGACTGATTTCATTTTTCATTCCTTGATCCCATGAGACTGTTTTGAATTACATGGTTCATGATTTGCCATCCATCACATGTAACAGCAATACATTAACAATTGTCCTAAAAACCCTACAACACAACAGTACATCAAATTATGGCATTAAAGGAAAGACATCAGAAGACACAGATTTCTGCAGAGCCTTTGAAGTTTGACAGGCTTTCTCTTTCACAATCAGACATTTACACTGTCATGGCTATTTCTTTGTCCCCTGAGTATCTGAGCACATTTTGCAGCTCTGCCTTCAGTGCTGCTGCTTCAGGTCGGTCTTGCGGCTTCTTACACAGCAATGACTTAATAATGTGGCTCTGTAAAAAAGCAAGAAAATGATCAGTCATGCTGCTACACAACTGAGGCTCGACACTTCAGTTTTTCTGACATTTAATGTTTTGTTCAGGAAACTGACCAGTCAGCGTATTGAATCTGAGCCAATCTGTATATGCCTGTCGCACTGTTGGTGAAAATTATGACGTTTTTGCCAGATGTACATGGGTATTTATTTTAAACTGTCTTTTCCCTCTTTTGTTCTCAAAAGAAACAACAAAAAACCCAACCATAGCCTGCATGAAAATGAAAAAATACCAGTGCTGCAGTGTAAAGAGCATGCCAAACAAACAGTAGTGATGTAACCCCAAAAACCACGTTGGCCAATCAGAAGTCTGGTTCCAATATCCTCCTGACAATGGCATATCGGGGAAGGAATTATGGGTCTTAACTGATTCTAACATTACTGTTCCTGGTAGCAAGGTTAGCACTGGCACTATTTTGGCCACATCATCCACTGCACAAAATCACCTCATGTAAACAAAGGTGATAAAGTCACACGCCTTATCTCAGAAAACTCAGTTCTACCTGTCTACATAGCAATTACACCGCAAACTGAGTTTCTGAAAATCTTCATTCTGGAAGGAAGTTTGCCAAAGCTCTCTTTTCGGTAACCTAAAACAGTTTTATGTGCTATATTTTAAATAATACCTGTGTAGATAGGGAAAAGCGTAAGTGCCAATATGTGAAAAAATACTGTTTCATGTGGCAAGTAAATCAGTTAGTATAGTAAAAACATGGTAATCTACCTCTTGGGGAAAAGTCTGTGAAAACTCTTTGGGGAACTTCTGACTTCTGACGTCATCCCAAATCTTGAATTAATGCAGCAATAAGGGACAAAAGAGCATGTTAACTTCATTATAATAAACAAATAATCTGAATTAAGCTCTACTGAATATTACAAACAGATGCAAGAAACAACAAATTAGATATACACAAAAATGAGCAAGTTCTGTCCTCTGCTTTTATTGGACACTATACTTATAAGAAATCAAGTAAAGGGGTGTCTAGTTAGCTGTGGTCTTAGTTGTACAGTCACAAACAAAAGTTTAGCTATACTTGTAAAGATCATGTATATCATGGCAGTCCTGGATTTCAAATGACTGAATACGAAACTATAGAATTATTAAAGCCACTGCTTTTGTTCTTGATGGAGTTTAAGTTGGGACTTTGGGAAGGCCAGTCTAAAACCTTGATTCTAGCCTGATTTAACCATTTCTTTATCACTTTGGATGCATGTTTGGGGTCATTGTCTTGTTAAAACACCTAACTGCATCCAAGACCCAACCTTCTAGCAGATGATTTTATGTTTTCCTGAATGTGGAGATGATCCTCCTTTTTCATTACTCCAGTAACTTTGTGTAAAGCACCAGTTCTGCTGGCAGCAAAACAGCCTCAGAGCATAATACTACCACCACCATGCTTGACAGTAGGTCTGGTGTTCTTGGGATTAAGGGCATCATCTTCTCTCCTCCAAACAAATTTCTTGTTGTTGTGGTCCAATAGCTAATTTTTTGTTTCATCTGACCACAGAATTTCCTCCAGAAGGCCTTTTCTTTATCAATGTGATCTGCAGCAAACTTCAGTCAAGCTCTAAGGTGCTCAACTTCCTTGTGGAGGAAAGGTCTCTTTCTTGCATGGCAGAATCTCAGCCCATGGAGATGTACAACACACTTGACTGTGGATACTGAAATTCAGCTTCTGACCATCTTGACCAGTTGTCTCTCAGCAGCAGGTTTTAGCTTGTGTTTTCTTCCTGATCATGGCAGTGACACAACTGCACCATGCACTTTATCCTTCAAACAGTTGTTTGCAGAGATGGTTTTGGGATATAACACCGCTTTGAAATGACTCCCATTGACTTTTCCGACTTGTTCAAGTCAATGATTTGCTTTTTCAAATCTTTGCTGAGCTCCTCAGACTTTACAACTGCAGGGTTTATGGTTGAGTCTAATTAATGTATCAAATGGGCCCTCAGATGAGCCATTAGCTGTCGTCAATCATAATTTCTCACAAGAAGTTAAGGGCCATGCCCCCAAGAAAATCTGATTAACACAGCTTTCTACATCACAGAAACTGACAAGTCAAGTTGCTGTATGTATGTATTTTTAGCCCAGCAGCTTATGTCATATTTCCAGAGGACCTCTAGTAAATCTATGAAAGAACCAAAATGCACAATTGTTTTCTAGACAAAGACAAAGACGCATAGGTTTCAATGATTCCATCATACAAAATTAAGAGCTGTACAAGTCACCAGACTGCCATGATATACATGGTTTTTAAAAGTGTAGGTAAACTTTTGCTTACTACTGTGTATATAACCATAGGCCTACGTAATATAGTCACATTTTGTGGCAAGTAATATTTAAAACTTGAATAACACACAGTGTACGTCTGTTTATGCAAGGCTCACCTTTGCTTTTTCAGAGAAAGTGGAGACTTTCCAAAGGAGTTCAAAGTATATCAGTCCCAAAGCAAACATGTCCACTTTCCGATCATACTTCTCAGTCCTCTGGAATGAAATTATGAGGTAAATGACATTAATGAGGTATCTTTATATATGCAGTACAAAATTTAAAAAATATTCTACTTCCATAAAAGCTTCAAAAAATACAACTAACACTGAAATAATGAGACTAAAGAAGAAGGGAAATACTACTACTACTACTACAGAGAATTTCTAACTGGAAATGTATTGATAAGAGAAAAAGCGTTATGGTGGTTGTACTTTATATATCAGTTGTAAGTACATTTCGTAACTTAGCTTGCAAAAATACATTCATTTTAAAGCAATAAAGGAACAGAATCGAATGCTTGTGTCAACATGAAGTGAGCATCTCACTTGCTCAGGAGCCATGTAAAATGGGGTTCCTGTATATATGGTTCTCTCCATGTTTTCATCACCATCAGTGACCAGACCAAAGTCCCCGATCTTTACTTCTCCATCCTGTCCAAACATGATGTTGGCAGGCTAAACAAAGCAGCAAATAAAACAAATTAATATCAAGCCTTTTGAATGATGTACTATAAGAAGTGAGCTGGTCAGCTTAATACCTTAGTATGTGTTCAAACACTCAACGCAGCAACTACTTTGTTTGCTCTGAATAGATAAACGCCCAACTGGTGGGCTTATGTTTCAGTAGTGGAAGAAGTATTTTGATCCTTTACTGAAGTAAATAAACTGATACCACACTAAAAATACACCTAGACAAGTAAAAGTATTACAATCAAAAATTTACTATGTAAATATTATCAGAAAAAAGTACTTAAAGCACATAACGTTGTGGTTTAATATTACTGCAGCAGTAATATGAATGTTGTATTTTATTTCAGATTGAGCTAATTTAACTGCTTTACATGCGGCTCATGCTTTGTAAGATGATCACATATTTGTAGCGATACTGAAAACCACGTTTCTAAAAAGTCAAGTTTTCATGAGCTCAGGAAAAACAGCCCTGTTTTCAACTTTACAACCTTTTCCAGCTAATCCAATGAGGGTTTACATTGATTATTTAGATAAAGGGACAGAAGAGATACTTGAGATCTTGAGAGTGCAAGGTTATCACTAGTGAGGAAGGATATGAAAAACTGTTATCTGAAAAGTATAAAGTAACTGAAGTTGTCAGACAAATGTAGTGATGTAAAAGTACAATATTAGCTTCTACGATGTAGTGGAATAGAAGTGTCACAGAATGGAAATACTCAAGTAAAGGACAAGTACTCAAATTTATACTTAAATACAGTACGTGAGTAAATGTACTTATTCTGCCATTGCTACGTTTGTACTAGTTTTATGTGTACACGAAACATAAACTATTATATGCTTTACTTATTTGACACTGAAACTAAGTAGAGCAATGATGATTGGTTTGACTGCCACTTGGGTTACAGAGTGAAATATCTTGACAAATATTTGATTGTTTGTCATTCAAATTAGGTGGGGGAACATTAAATATTAGCCTAAAATTCTTTCTGAGAACTAGGAAAAATCTAAAGAATAATAAATAAATAAACAATAACTTTGTGACAGGACAGTTTCCAAAGGCAGTTTAAGTGAGCTAAGGCCCCTTCAACATACTAACTCAGTGACTTTAACCGTATGAATCAACATTCGTAAGGCCTGCAAAGCCCTGAGAGATGACGTATGTTGTGAATTTGTGCTAATAAATAAATAAAATTGAATTGAATGATGCTGCAACAGTCACCAACATTCACTGTAAACAGCAATACAACGCAATCTATTACAGCGCATTGTGGAGCACAAACCTAAAGGGTTAGTACTTGTTGAGTAACACCAAAGCCTCACCTTAAGGTCCCTGTGTATGAGGTCTTTGGAGTGAATGTACTCAACTCCACTGACTATTTGTTGCAAAAAGAGCAGACTTTCATCCTTTCTCTTGGGGTTTTGCAGAGGTTTGTCATTCTCCTCTTCAATCCACTTTTTAAGTGTTTTGGTGTCGCATAACTCCATCCTAATGTAGAGGTACTGTAGGGATGAACTACTTGTAGGTCTAAGAAAGAAAGGAAAATGGTGAAATGGCAAATCTTCGTTGTTACAATAAGTGGAGTAAAACGTCATTTCATGTGAGGATGAGACTTACTTAGACTTGCTGTAGCTGCTGTCTTTGTATTCTGAATCCTCCATCCAACAATCGTCATATCTAACAATGTTACTGTGACGGAGTTCTGATAATGCCATCACCTCTCGCAGAGCCTTTCTGATCAAAGAATCAAATGTAACTCGTTAGGTTAAAACTGTCGAGTAATGCATGTATTACTGAAATACTACTGTGCTTTTACACTGAATAGCACTGCACTGACTTCGACTTGACTTACTCTTCACCGTCGACAATCTTTACAGCATAGAACTTGCCCACGAGTTTGTGTCTTGCTCTGTAAACATGACCAAAGCCTCCTTTGCCAAGAGGCTCTATAGAATCGTAATCTGACTGAAATCTGCAAACATTCACAAAAAATATTAGGTATACAAATGTTCTAAACAGCAGTGTCTTATACATTATTGTACATCAGTTAAATCATAGCATTGCAGAAGAATGTTTTTATATACCTTGACTTGTTTGTTGCATTACTCGTGCTATTTTCCACTCTCTCGTTTGTGACAGCATTCTTCAAGGAAAAAATAAACACATTGTATGGATTTAATATACTGAGAAGTCCTCACTCAAAAACATAAGTCTTCAGACCTGCTCTGAGTATAGAGTCAGAAAAGCCAAGTAGCTACAGCTTTTGTCTTTTAGAGTAACATCTGTCCATGGATGGGATGAGATTATAAGGACTCATTGGTGTTGCATTTAGCAGATATATTTCGCATCTATTTTCCTTAACTAGAAAAAGTACTAGAACTTAGACATACACAAAAAATGTGGATGGTGGACGTATGCTAAAGGCTTAAAGTCCCTCTCTTAAACCTCTAAAACCTCACTTTTGTTCATCAAAGTTACATAATTATGAGTTTTTTTTTCATAGAAATATTTCTTCCATACCTGAAACCAGACTAGATGCCATTGTATTGTAAATTTTATAAATGAAATTTATGTGTCCTCTAGCATATCAAAAATGGCACATGGTTATCTCATCTTTAGTGTTAAAATTCACCTGAGTGGAACCATTTTCATTACTGTTCGTCAGAATCATTAACTACAGCTCACAGTGGTCTCTTCCAGGCACTGTGGCGCAAAAACAAAGAAGAAGAAAAAAGCACTGCTTGGCTTGAATATTTTATTTTAACTCTTTTCATGTTGCTCACACTTGCATCCCTGACTGACTGTTACAGAAAGCACTCCCAAACAAAACTTTCTTGATCATACAGTGAGACTTGCAGTCTTTAAATATTACTCTGAGGATAGACTATTGCTTTGCCTACTACAGATTTATTATAAATTTATGAAGGAACTGACCTGGCCCCTGGAGGGGTTTGATGAATCAGCGAATACTACTGAGTCACTTGCACTCGTGTGCATGTTATGTGACGATGATTCATTGGAGTCCCTAGAAAAAGAAAAACACAAGAGACATAACTACAGTTTCCTCAAAATATTGTAATAATTACACTGTTGCAATACTATTATAATAGACAAACGGAGTGCTTATTGAACCCCTAAAGAAAATTGCAGTATTGCAGCAGCAGTTTACATATCAAAAACACATATAACTTGCATTGAGCTGACATGAAGCAGGTAAGAAACTAACCCAATTCTAAAAATATAGAGACATTTACATAAGAAAAACTGTCCTGTATAAAAAACAGAACTAAAAAAGATATAGAATAGGATAAGATAGAGATAAAGAGATAAAATATATAACATTTAACTAATCAATCTGCTGTCCAGTGAATGTCAGTGAGTGCCTTACCATGTAGTTGATGGTGCTAATGATGCACCGTCTTCTGACGCTGTTGACTTGACAGACACCTAGAATGCAGACAAAGGTGTTCGGCATGATGTTAAACTTATTGATTTATTTAAGTTTCAGCTCAGTGTAAATGTTTTTATTTAAAAAAAAACAAAGCTGGTTTTAAAATCAGTGAATTAAAACGATCAGAAATATATTTGATGATGTAAAGAAAGCAGAAAAAATGTAATACCTTGCTGTCCCAGTCTGACTGTTCCTGAAGAGCATCCCAGGCCAGCTGGGCTGCATTTTGTTTGGCCTGCTTGACAGTCTTACCCTCACCAACAGGGTATTCCTTCTTGTCAATGACCGATTTGTAGAAAAATCTGTGTTGTGTAAAAGTGGAAATGTTTAACTTCATTGCATTAGCATCATTTCAGAGTTTGCACAGTGTCCGCAGTGTTTATTCAGTCATACTCACTTGAAGTTATGAGACGGGCCACATCTTCCGACTTCCATAAATGTATGGTGGCGGTTTGTTTTCTGACAGTAGCTGTTAATAATGCCTATGAAATTTGTCTCTTTAAAGCTGTTGTCTTTAGACTTCACACTCAGGCTTCTTGTCCCATCACTGTAATAAACCAGCAACATTTACACTGGTGAAGATGCCAAAATGGAACAATGAATGTCCATTGTGATTTACTCACCAGACACCAAAAACATTTTGACTGAATTCGCCGTTTTGTTGACCTGATGCATAGTTGCAATTCTCATCTGCAGGCTTGAAAAGAGAAACAGCATGACTTTGAGATGGTTCACATGGGGGCCTGCGGCACTCTGAGTATGTTTCAGGTCTATGCTCAAACCAGGATGCACTGGTGTGTATCACGACTTACCTCTGTAGTTCTACTGCCACATTTGTCATCATATACCAGCTTGGCTGCGAGCTCCTTAGCTTCCCTCTTTGTTTTCCCACAGACCTCTGGATACTTCTTATCACCAACAATGAAGAAGCAGCAGCTAACATCACAGAAACATTGATTTAGTGCATTTTTACATGATGACAACATAGCTGAGAATTGGGATGCAGTTAGGAGGCTTACTAGATAGTATTATTTGGACCGGGTCTGGTTGACTCCACAGGCTTTATATTCAGTCTGTTCTTCTGACCATGTTCATTGAGCCAACATATGTAGTTGATACTTTTCTGCTCAACTGGTGCCGAAGCTTCTGCTGCATTTTCAGTCTGTTAAAGATAATAACAAATACACACCAGGGATGCATATGAGTCATGACACAAGTTGATTTTTCATGTCTCTCTGAAAAAGTCTAGTTTAAATCTTACCGAGTCAGCTGAGTCCTGATGTTCATCCGAAAACAAACTTCGCAGGGCTTTTTGAGCTGCATTCTGCTTGGCTTCCTTCTTTGTCTTCCCTGCACCACTGGGATAGGGTTTACCATCCAGAACCACCCTCTGGGTAAATCTGCAGATGAATTGTCAGAGGAAAGTTGACTTAAAATGATTTTGTAGGAGCTGGTTTACATGAAACCAGTACACTACCACTTTCTGCCAGTGGGAGGCAATATTTGAACACAATGTCTATGTTGTGGCCACAGACAGCAGGATGTTCATACACCAAAGCTTTGCTCAGCTGTGCTCACATTAACAGGCTGAAACTGTAACAACCTACACTTTTTTTGAAGTCCCCAAATCTCGGGCTTCATTCATTGGTGATTATTTTGGGTGTCAGACTTTCACTGTAACATTTGCCTTTTTGCATTAGTCCAGCGGTGGATTGGGGACCTGTGCAGAGCTGGTGTACCCCATCTCTGGGACTATGTCAGGCTCCATAGACCCCACAGCCCTCTACAGTGTAAAGCATGTACAGATGATGGATAGGTGGCCATGGTTTTCAAATTATTCTGATCAAATCGGAAAGTTTCTCTGGGCTGACCTAAAATCTGAGTTTCTGGCATCAACCTGCAAACAGGACTCACTGCATCACAAACCCAGTAGGCTACTTACATATAAGGAAACCTGAAGCCCACTTTGCATATATGCTTAGAAAAGACTTTCACATAGGGGAGAGGGGGGTAAGATGAGCCAGTCTTTACTTGAGGTGTCTTTACAGTGGGGGCATGACAGCAATGTCTAAAAATAAAACATGTACATATACTTCAGGATATGGGGCATCCCAGGGAATAATTGGTTTGGATGTAAAATTAACTGATTTTAAAATATAGCTTTCCAAAAAAAAAATGTGTTGTCTTGGCTCAACTTGCCCCGAGCAAGGGGTAAATTGAGCCTTTGGAGAAAACATGTTGGGGTAAATTGTGTCATCGATTGTGTTGAAGTAAAATTGAAATTTTTATACCTCATATAATTCTATATCAAAGCAAGACAAATTCAATACCAAATGACCTCTTAAAAGTTGTATTTAACGATCAAATGTACAACGTTTACGACCAATTTCCTCCAATAACGCCCACAGATGGCACATTTTGGAACAACATCATGTTAAAAATCAACAAATTCTAGTGTCATTTTTACAAAACTGGGCTACTATTTAGCCTATATAAAAGTTGCAACTTTAAAGGCCACTTGTCTTCAGTAAGGCCAAAGGAGTTCATACTTTTAGAAAAAAAAACCCTGTTCAACATCAACAAAGTTTACAACTCCAAAGACCTATTTTTCAACAAGGCCTACGTACTTCACATTTTCATAACAAAATCAAGTTAGAAAAGAATAAAATTGATTTTAACTCTCACAGAACTGGGTTCAATACAGGACATCCCACTTGTCAGGCATATTTGAATTTGAATATTTTATTTATATTTTATTTGAATTAAAACTTCTAATAAGGTAATTGCACTTAGAGTTATTATTATTGGAAGCACAACAGTTTAGACATCTGGAGGATATCTGCAAGTATTTGTGCTCAGGTTTTTTTTAAATTTATTTTTTTTATAACTCTTTATAGCATGAACTTGATCACCACTCACTTTATAAATTAAGAATTTGCAGAGTATAAGGCCAACTGAGTGCTGGAGCAGGTTATTCCAGTCCTGTCAACTCTAAGATTACATTTCAAAATGTCTCTTAGTGCTGTTATTATATATTGAAGACAAGTCTCTGTGGGGAAATGGTGTAAAATAATGTCACATATATACTACAGTAGCATTTTAGCCATCCAGTAGGCTACTGAGAAGTCTTCTGATAACCAGGCCTCTTGTTAAAGTGTAAATATTAGCAGCTTTCTGTGTTGACACAAAACACTCATCTCACCCACAGCACTGCATAATGTGAAGCTACGACCACAGGTACCAGAAATCCAGCTCACCTTTTATCATGATCAGGACCACCGGACTCAAGCTCCTCATAGCGCGGCACCAAGCCGGACTTCTGTGCAAACTCGTTCAGTTTAGCAACGTAGTTGCCAGTAACCATCGGCGATGACACTGCAAATTTACATTAAAAAACAAAACGTGAAAAGACAGTTTAAATCTCACCATATATTGTATTTTTTTTTACTCTCCCATCTTACTTCTGCTCCTGGATCCGCCTAAAGTCCGAGCACTGTTTCGATCCGGCTCGCTGTAGATATCTGTAAGTTTTGATTCCTTCGTATCGAAACTGAAACCGACTCCAGCTGAACTACAACTCCCACAAACTCCTACATGTTGGGTTCATTTTTCCTCTGAAGTGTCTGCTCCAGTGCACAATCAAAAACTAACGCTTTAAGATTCACTATATTAAAAATACACTCCCCACAGTAGGAAGCAACTGCAATAAAAGACAGTACTCTTTTCATTACTGAGATTCAAATGTTTTATTTTCAACATTTCATATGTGCACCTTTATTTCTGATGACAGAATCATACCAAATTTATCAAAAATATATTCTTTAGAGACTGTTGTTTTCACCAGAGGGATTGTATTCCTCTACCTTTCTCTTTACAATACCACAGAAGGTGTTCCACTGGATTCAAGTCAGTCAGTATACTTGGTCACAGATTTCACCGTGTTCTTCTTTTTTTGTCCTGTGTGATTTTGGCGCTTTGGATCATTATCGTGCTGGAATATTCCTTTTCTTCTGCTAAGCTTCTGCAGACCAGGAGTCATGTTGTCAGAACCCCATCAGAGCCAAATATATTTATACTAAAGGATGTACTCTCAACATTCTTTCAGCTTCTTTTCATCTTATCAAGCAAAGTGTAATCTTGCAGTTTTGTGCCAAGACATAAAGTTTTTTTTTTTTTCATGGATGTAGTTCATTGAGGTTCACATTATGCAAAGTTCTTCACAGTCTGAGCTACCACAGAAACTCCTCTTCTACTAACATTCCCTGTGCCAAACCTAAAGCACTTGCTCATCTGTCTCCCAGAGCTGAATTGTAAAAGCAGCATACTGTGTGTCTGTGGAGTCACGATAGGAATATGACAAATGCAGCTATGATTAGTGAAACTATGGCTTTTTCTGTACCTCCTGATTAGTGTTGATCACTGTTACATTGTTTTTACTGGTTTTAGTAGTTCACCATCTTCCTGTATCCTTTTCCATTTTTGTGAAATCATAATCAGTAATACAGTTCTAATGGAAATTCTTTTGCATGTGGCGGCATGATGCTGGCATGGAGCTAGACACAGGAAACTGGTCCAAAACTAAGACAGTTACGGTGTTCAAAGGTCGCTTCTGTTTCCATGTCCATGCTAGGGATGCAAACACATGTACAGTCATCCTCAAATTTATTCATATCCTTCCATTAAAGAAAAGGCAAAATTCACAATAGTCACTCAAACAACTAGAAACTCAAAAAAGTAATAATAAATTTTTAAAAAATTGCCAAATTATAATTTAGTGAAATAAGACATTGCTTTTGAATTGCGGTTTAAAAGAATAACTAAAAAAAAAACAAAACTGTCCCAGACAAATTAGAGCACTTTGCTGATGAGCAGAATAGAATAGAATAGAATCGAATAGAACTTTATTGATCCCTTTGGTGCAAACCTCAGGGAAATTGTTGGAACAATTAGCAGTGGGCCAAAATCAAAATACCTGTCAATAGGTGCAGAAGTCTGATTGAGAGTTAAAGAAAATGATTGCAGTGACTGGCTCAAAGGGTTGTTCAACAAAATATTAGTTTAGGAGTCCCATCATGCTTGTTTGCTTGGTTTTAAAGATATTTCTGTTGAACCACAATTCAAAAGCAATGTCATGATTTTCATTCAATTTTTTATTTATTATTACTTTTGTCAATTTCAACGTATTTCAGTGACAGCTGTTTTTTTTCCTTCTTTAATGGGAGGGTATGAATACATTTGAGGACCACTGTATGGTGAAAAGGTGTGAGCTAACCGAAGTTGGAATAAAAAAGTCTGGCTGTTTTTGAGGTGTACACTATGCTTTAAATGGTTTTTGCCATACAGTAGGCTTCACTGACTCACTGACCTGCATCAGTGCAACAGAAAAAACTCTCCTGACAGACGTAGCACATACTCTTGACAGAAATATACTTCATGAATCACTGATTCACTAAGAGCATACAATGTGATAGATGACCACAACAAGTAGTGGCTTTGGCAGCAACTAACACTAAAAGCGACTGTTTGCAATTCTTTTAACATACCTGTACTTGGGAATTACTGAAATTACACAGAAGATGAATGACCATTGCACCTTAGTTGTTTTATTTTTCACTTCAGCCTTTCATTATAAAAACAAAAAGCATCATGAGTAATGTACTATAACGTCAGTGTAAGTTTAAACCCATTTAACCATTACAGCAAACAAAACTTTTTTTTTTTTATCCCAGGTGATAAAACTAAAAAAAACAAAAACAAAACATGATTCTTTGCAAAAATGGAACAATGTAATTCATGTTGCATTCACTGATTATAAAAGATGTCATGAAGTCATGTGTCTTTATTCATCAAGTACCGTTCCACATACTACATGAGTATGATGTTAAATCATGTCATATCAGTTATTAAAAGGCACTCCCCTTATTATTTAAAACCTCCACAGCATTATAGAATGATACGCTGAATAAACAATCATGCTTGTGAAGACTTTGATAAGTGTTCATGTGTTTCTTTGCAGTAATCAGACAGTGTGTCTGTCACGGCCTGTATCTGTAGGCATCACGAGCGACCGTTTGCCCTCTTCCAAGTCGGTCTTTAGCTTACTTGCCTCTGGTCGGTCTTCTGGTTTCACACACAGCATTGACTTTATAATTTGGCTCTGCAACAACAAAACAACAGAAAGAACAGCTGCTCTGATCACCACAATATTCACAAATACTGACAATGTGTTTGAGGCTCCACTTTACTATATTTATATCAAATTCACTTTTCTACAAACCTGCCCTGCTTGATATTTGACACTTTTATACACACATTGACACTCAGCTTCTGATCATTTTTGCCCTTTCGGTGGCCTCCTACAAGTGAATATCACCCACTAGAAAATACTGCTTCATGTGTTGAACAAATTGAAATAATTTTGACGTACCTCTTGGTGAAAATGGTGACAAAATCCTTCAGGAAGTTTTTGGTTTCGGACACCATCCCAAATCTAGAATTCAGGAAGAACATTTCACTGGTGTGACACAAATGATAAATAAGCTGTCCAATAAACTTTCATATCAAAGCAGACACTCACAACTCAAATGTAAATGATAAAGTTTGATTTGGCTGAATTCCTTTTAGTTGCTTCAGTTTCAGGGTCCTGCTGGCTCACTGTTACACTGTAGTGATTCGCTGGGACACGTGAATAGAACGGAGCCACTGGTTGTGTTTACCGGAGTTATGAGGCTCATCCCGGTTTTGATATTAGTGGAGATGTGGTGTTTACATGGAATACGGGAAAATCTGGTTCTTCTTATCCCAGTATACACGACAAATACTAGCATCCCAGTTACTGATTACTGTGTCCTGCTTGCTCAGCTGCCCGTGATGTTTACAACACAAAATTGAAATCTGGAATTCCTTTAAGTCTATCTTTAAAGTAATTTAGTGTGGCTATCAAAAATGAAGCCACTTTGGCTTATAGCGCGCTTAGCAATATTAAAATCGCAACAGTGCATTATGGATTTGGCTTATCCATCTTATTGCCAGCACTGGTAGATGAGAGTGGCAGGAAAAACAGAAACATGGTCTCCACTTTTCAGGCTGTCAGGGTCATTGCTTAGGACAAGGGATCGCAGGACGAAGATCCTCAGCCATGACTGGTGGGATAGCTTTCTGTGCGAGTAGTGTAACCTTTTACAGACTGTGTGACACAATTGAACCATTAATGAGACCAGAAGAAACAACAGTGTGAGTGCAAGTTCAATTACTGATAAGAGAAGCCTTAGTCAAAGTCCTTATAGGAGAGTCTCGTCACATGGCAGAGTCATAACTGCAATTTAAATGGTCGTGGGACATAAAAAAAAGAAAGAAAGAAAGAAGGAAAATGCAGGTGTAGAATCACAGCGTAAAAGGTTTAATGTCTCTGCCTGAAAGTAAGGTTTATGTAAGGGTAAAACCAGGGTAAGGGCTGTTCCATGTTTCTGAAATCGGGATATGATATTTACATGTGCAAAAATAAAAGAAGGAAGAAACAGATCATAGTTGGGATGTATAAGTTAATGTAAACTCAGTGCTTTCCTATGACCTAAAATGAAAAAGACGCACCAGAATCTTTGGAATCTGATTAACTCTCTGATACTTTACCAACCGTTGAAACAAACTCAAAGACATTTAGTAAACAAACAATATCAAGAAATGTAGCATACTTTTGGAGTGTGTCTCAGAACAACTCACCACTACTCTTTCATGGCCAGTAGAGAGGTTCCAAAGGAGTTCAAAATATATCAGCCCCAAAGCAAATATGTCCACCTTCCGGTCATATGTGCTTCTGCTTTTCTGTCATTAAACAACGCCACAGTAATAACAAAAGTCACCTCAGTCGTTACAATCTCCACAGCTGCCTGCAGTGTAATATGTATTTATAAAGAGAAAGATGACGTTAATGTGAATACAGCTGATCTCACCTGCTCAGGAGCCATGTAAGACGGGGTTCCTTTGTTCACAGTTCTCTCCATCAGGTTCTCAGCATCCTCATCATTCTCTGCAGTGACCAGACCAAAGTCTCCAATCTTCACTTCTCCATCACACCCAAACATGATGTTGGCAGGCTAATCGCAGAGAAGAAATAAACACACATCTTTACAACTGATGTCATATAATACACAATGATTTTACCCTCACTGTCTCACCTTCAGGTCTCTGTGGATGAGCTTCTTGGAATGAAAGTACTCGACTCCGCTGACTAGTTGCTGAGCGATGGCCAGACTTTCTTCTCTTCTTTTGGAGTCTTGCAGAGATTTCTTAACATTCTGAGCATTCTTCTCATCTATCCACACTCTCAGTGTTCTGGTATCACATAACTCCATCTGGATATAGAGATACTTGGCAGATGAATCACTGGAGGATCTAGAACTGTAAGAAAAAAACAGATGTTGAAATGATCTCTGTGTTTATAAAATGCAGACAGGATTTTAGTAAGTGAATGAGACTCACTGTGAAGCTGTGCTACTGTCAGTGCTACTGTCCCACTGGAATTCTAAATAATCCTTCCAACACGTGTAGTACTGAACGATGTTAGAGTGGTTGAGGTCGGACAATGCCTTCACCTCTCGGAGAGCTTTTCTAATTCAAAGGAGTACAAGAAAGCTTTCAACTTATATTGCATTTATTTTGAATTTACTTAATGAAAAAACATCATGCAGGATTACAAAAAAACTCTAAACCTCATTTAATGCTTGACTTACTCTTTGAAGTGAACAATCTTTATAGCATAACACTTGTCAGAAAGTTTGTGTTTTGCCTTGAAAACACGACCAAAAGTTCCCCTACCGAGCCGCTCTATGGATTCAAAATCTGATGTAAACCTGCTGGAAACATGAAAACGTGTATCAGACTAATTATTTGTACATAAACAATATTCAACTTGTGTGTAGTATTTTAATTTCCCATACCTTGAGATTACTGACTGACTTGGTGTTTTCTCACTCTGACTACTTCCTGTAGTTTTGCACTTGAAATCGGGCATTACATCCTTAATGAAAGTCATCACATAGAAGTTAAAATATTAAATGAGAACAAACAAAATAAGCTTTCAGGATTAATATTTGATTTTTTCTTACTTTACCTCTTTGCTGCTTCCGTCAGCTTTGGGGAAAATTGCTGCAATTCTAAAAAGAAAAAGTACAATCAGCAATAATATCAGTTGAACCATTGCGTAGCTTTACAGTGAGTGTCAACGAACGACTAACCTTATTTTGGGCTTTACATCCGGGCTTGCATACTTTGTAATGAAAAGCAGGAAAAACAAATGTTATATTTAGGCATTTAATCATTAATACTCCTCCTTTACTTCTCAGTAATCTGAGGATCTGATAAAAGATTTGATAAAGCGACGTCCTGAGAACTAGACTTACTTACCTAAAACACACTTGCAGTTTTGTAACACTATTTCCTGTTTACTCCACTAAATACACCCGTAGCTCTCAGGGATTACTAATCCACTCGTGTCTTTTTTTTAAACTCCTTGCTTATCAAGTAGTTAAAGTCAGTTTTAAAAAACTGATTTCACTGAAAACTGATGAGTTGGCTCAAATGTGGGTATAAAAAGGTAAATTCAGTTTGAAATTCCTCATTCCTGTTCAAAATGGTAAAACGCAGAGAGCTCACTGAGAATGAAAGAGTCGGATTTAAGGCACTTCATGATTCTGGATGGTCTCTGAGACAAATAGGGAAAGACATAAAGTGTTCTCACAGTGTGGTCTAATAAATGTGTTAAGCACTGTGTATCTACTGTAATTTCAAAATTTAAAGCACAGACCTGATCCTTAGGAGGTTTTGGTGAACTGGTGAAAACAACGGATTCACTCGGGGTTGTTGTGCTTACTGATTTTGGATGACCAGAGTCCCTTAAAAAACACAATGAGGCACATTAGTGGTGCATCATCCACAGTAAACTTTGTCATCCAATATACTGCTCAGTCAGTGCCTCACGGTGAGCTTGATGGTGTGGACGGTTTGGATGACGCACCATCATCAGATGCAGTCGACCAGAAACTTCCCTGAAGGCACAAAAGAATAGAATAGAATAGAATAGAATAGAATAGAATGCGTTTTATTGCCATCATACACAAGGTACAACGAAATTAAAATGAAATCTTACAAACTGTAGTAAGAAATATTGTAGTAACTGATGCTCTCTCATCAGTGTTATGTTTAGAATACATTATTAATTTTACTTGAGGTGAATCATTTTCATGTCTTATGATATAAAATGTCATCTGCTGCTGCCACTGTATGTAACCTGGGCTCTAATTTTGTCGTTAGTTTCCACCTTTTCTGCCACTGTGACATTTTATTGGTTAAATTAAATTGTGAGGAGCAGAAGTTCCAATACTTTGTAAATCATGGCACCCCGTCAAGATTTTTGTCGTGGCCAGCTCAAGTTCAGTTGTCTCAGCATCAAATGAGAAGCTTTGAGTTTTCCTATATTTTTCTCACTGTCAACAAATGTCATGAAAACACCAGATAATCTATGTTGTAGAATTCCACTAAACTCATTTTTTTTAGGTAAACCTGCATGTAGGACTGACGCCTTCCAAAGATCTGAAGCAAAGGTATGAAGTCACACTCAATCTTACAGAGAAGTTTGTCTTTCATAACCCTTCCTGCAGATGAAGAAAGGTGGGGTGGGTCTTGCATATGTTTGTCTAACTGTTCTACTAACAAGGCACTCCAAGGATTTTATTATTTGTGTAGGTGCTGCAAGAGACAAGACAAGGCCTCCTTAACACAGACAAGAGTGGATGAGAGATACACCGTCACATGAGAGAGCACACAGGTAATATATGAATGAATATACTAAAGAATAACACACATAGTGTCAATAGTAACATAATGTAAAACCACTAAAATATAGAATTTCCATCAAACCCTACCGATGTAACGTATTTCCATGTTCCATACAGCCCCACTGTTAACCAAAAACTAAGAAAAAACATATTTCTGAGTCACAATGCAGCACTGTAAAACAGGTTTCTGCAAAAAAAGAAAGTCACAGTGTAAAGTGGGGTTGGGTGATGATTTTTTTTGTAGTTTTTGGACAACAATGGGACTTTATGGCATGGTGGAATAAGCTAACTCAGTCTTTGGATACTCAGATCATTTTGCTTTTTTTTTAAATCTCCAAAGTTATCCTTTAATAGATGATCTTCATATTTATTGCTTGTTTCTTCTGATACATCTGAAAATGTTGCTCATTTTTTAGGTGAGTAACACAAAAACCAACACAGTTTGCAAATTTGCAGCGTGGAATCATTGTCTACAATCTTAAGGTGGTGTACTTATGATTCTGAGTTCAAGCCAAATGCCCTTGATAAAAGATTTGAAGGTTGGGTCTCTGAGGGACTTACTACCAATTACTCTTTTATCCACAAAGGGGCATTTATGAGTTTTAAATCATTACCGAATCAATATAGATTAAGTCAAGGTGATTCCTATAGATATTTACAGCTAAGACACTATTTTGATCAAAATATAAAACCAACATGGGAGAAATGCAACTTGGGGTTCTTATAGACTTTTCTAACATTAATTAAATCCATTTCACAAAATAAATTTATATCCAAATTCCACAAAAGCATTCAGCAATGGAAGCAAGCCAATACAGAATGAAGAGATTGGAAATGGAAGATATTATGCAAATTTCAAATGAAAGCTGGGTGAATATATGTCGACTACAATGGAAATCTACAGGTTCTAGTACGCGGTGAGAGTTTTGTTGGAAGAACATGGCCAGGTTTTTTACTACACCTACTCAAAAGAGACATCAAGATAGTGGAGATTCATGCTGGAGACTATGTGAGTCCTCGGGGGCCAATCATTTCCACATTTTCTGGGACTGTTCAGTTTGAAGACCTTTTTGGACACAGATATGTGAGCATAGTAATAATGTGAATGTAACAAATTGGAGAAATAAGGATAAGAAGTTGCTCTGGATGCTATTGGCAGCGAGTAAGAAAGCCGTAACCAGGAAATGATTAAAATCCAACCCTCCGACCATCGAAGAGTGGATCAACATAATTCAAGAAATTCACATTATGGAAAAACTCTCATTTACTCTCAGAATTCAAAGGAAGACGTTTTAAAAGATCTGGACGAAATGGACTGAGGATGTGAAGCCTATAAGGTCTGACTTTGTATAATTTTTGTTGTTTTAGGTGGATGGAAACAGATTTTTATTGTAACAGTACTCTTCCCATAAATCTTCCTTTAACATATTCAAAATGAGTGTGAAAAATAAAAATTACAGAAAAAAAACCCCCACACAGGGACTCAGTCAATGAAATCCTGGTAGAAAGTATATTGTGGGTCGTGGATTTTAGTTAAACAGGGTGAAATTATTGCTTTAAATTAATAATGTACAAAAAGTTTGTACTTTAAACATAAACCATTGCCATACAAGCAAAGGGACACCAGAAAAAACTAAAGAAACAGGAAAAATGGTGCAGACGGAAACTCCAGATTATGCAATAAAGCCACAAGTCATCTGTAACGTCTTTGTTAACCTTACAAAGGACATGGCAGGAGCCAAGATGAGGATGGATCACTAAATAGGACAGTTAAGAGGCAGAATCACACAGCCTGAATCATAAATCTCAAATCTTTCTGTACAAAATACTATCTTATAGGAGAAAGTGGAATTTCCAAATCCAGCAACAATGACTTTCACACTTGATAATCCTAATATGAGTTCGGCAGCCCTGCTGAGACCTTTGATGAGAGGTGAACATGTATGGAGATTTGCATTAAATCTGAATTTTCACTCACGCGCTCAATAAGATGAAGGAGCTATTTAATATCAAAAGAACATAACAATACACACCCAGTCTGACTGTTCCTGAAGAGCATCCCAGGCCAGCTGGGCTGCATTTTGTCTGGCCTCCTTGACACTCTTACCCTCACCAACAGGGTATTCCTTGTTGTTGATCACTGCTTTGTAGAGAAATCTGCAATATTTTGGACATTGTGTTAAGATTGTACTCTCATTACTACCATACAGAGTGTTTTTAGAGGTGACTCAGCTTACAGAGGTTCAGTCATACTCACTTGGGATTATGAGGTGGGCCACATCTCCCGACTGCCATAAACGTACAGGTGCGGTTTGTTTTCTGACAGTGGTTGTGAACAATTGCTGTGAAATTTGTCCCAGTAAAAATTCTGTCTTCACTCCTCACAGTCAAGTTTTTTGTGAGATCACTGCAACAACATCAACAAAAAAAGACAAACTACAGCGTTACTAACCAAACAAACACAGAAACTATACAATGTTTTACTCAGTGTTTTGCAGTGGGAAAGAAACCAATATGAAACAATGCATTCTGTGCTCACCAGATGTCTGACACGTTTTTGTTCAAATCCTGTTTTTGTTGACTTGATGTGTCACTATCCTTCTCCTCTCCAGTCTAAAAACAAACAAACAAATTCTAACAACTATTTATGACTAAAGTCGCACAATCTGAAAACTTACTTGAACATTCAGTGTTTCCCCAATGTTGTCTGCTTAGTTTTTATTATATTCAGTTTTCTGTCGTTATTGCCTTGAGCTGGACGGAGGTCTGAGTGTTACAAGATTGTATAGAGTTGAATACAGTATATATTTTTATTTATTTTTGCACCCAACCTTACTAATTTCAGGCTTTTAGAGTCAGGAGGAGAAATTCCTCTCTGACAGCCAAGATGGGTCAAATTCTATCCTCCTGTGCTTGTTAGTTAGTGCAACATCATCAGAGGCAGAGCTCCTACTTCTTCTAGTATCCTTGCCACCGCTGCCAGATTCATCCATCCATTATCTATACACCACTTAATCCTCACTAGGGTCACAGGGGGGGGGCTGGAGCCTATCCCAGCTGACTTAGGGTGAAGGCAGAGGACACCCTGGACAGGTCCATCACAGGGCTACGCTTAGAGACAGACAACCAAGCACACTACGGACAATTTAGAATCACCAATTAGGAAGCCGGAGAACCCGGAGAGAACCCACACTGCACGGGGAGAACATGCAAACTCCACGCAGAAAGATCCCGGTGCCCCCACTGGGACGCGATCCGGCGACCTTCTTGCTGCGAGGCAACAGTGCTACCAACTGCGTCACCTTGCAGCCCTCCCTACCAGATTCAGATTAGGTATATTTAAAGAGGCAGATATTTTGGCATAGCATTTGCACATTAGAGTCAATATCACTCCAACTTTGCATTTAGATAATTAAGAAGTTTTTGGAAACTTTAGTTGCACTTAAAGTAAGATGATGAGTTGCATCAACTTGAGTTACACCTTCTCTTCACCAGTCGGTCTCTCCTCTGCTCATCTACAGTCGCCCTCAAATGTATTCATACCCTCCCATTAAAGAAGGAAAAAAACAGCTGTCACTGAAATAAGTTGAAATTGACAAAAATAATAACAAATAAAAAATGTATGAAAATCATGACATTGCTTTTAAGTCGTGGTTCAACAGAAATATTAAAAACAATTTAAAAAAAAAAAAAACAACAACAAGCAAACAAGCATGATGGGACCTGTAAACTAATATTTTGTTGAACAACCCTTTGAGCCAATCACTGTACTGACTTCTGCACCTGTTGACAGGTATTTTGATTTTGGCCCACAGCTCATCAGCAAAGTGCTCTGATTTGTCTGGAACCGTTTTGTTTTTGTTTTTTTAATTATTCTTTTCAACCACAATTCAAAAGCAATGTCTTATTTTACTAAACTATAATTTAGCGAATCTTTATTTATTATTACTTTTTTCAATTTCTAGTTATTTGAGTAACTATTGTGAATTTTGCTTTTTCTTTAATGGAAGGGTATGAAGAAATTAGAGGATGACTGTACATGTGTGAAATGGTGAAACAGACACAAACTACAGACACAGAAAGACATGGTGAACCAGAGAGAAGAGGAGAGAAACTAGCTTGATTGTTAGTAGATGTAGAGACTTACAGTGAGCTAAAATCAAGCACACGCACATAAATCAGGTAAATAACGCTTTTTTTTTTTTTTTTTTTCAATTGCATTGTTTTTTTTTTCCTTTGTTTTTTGGGGGCAGGCCATTGTAGGGAAACAATATTAATTCAATCCATAACAAGAATTTCAGTTTCTTCCTATACATTTCTGTGATTTTCTGGGCCTTCAGTGAAGCCAGAATAAATATTACTACTCACCTCTGTAGTTCTACTGCCATATATCTCATGATAAACAAGCTTGGCTGCTTCCTCCTTAGCTTCCCTCTTTGTTTTTGCAGAGGCAGCTGGATACTCCTTATCACCCACCACAAACCTACAATATCTGATACAAAAAATACTTAGAACTATTAATCAATTTCAAATGGTGAACACAGCTATAAATGGAACTGGATGCAGTGTGGAGACTTACTGAGTTGTAAAAAGTGGTCCAGGCTTAGATGACTCCACAAACCTTACGCTCAGCTTGTTCTTGTGACCATATTCATTGAGCCAACCTACATAGTTGGAACTACTTAAGCTTGTCTGACGAACTGGTGTGGTAGAAGCTTCAGCTGCATTTTCTGTCTGTCAGAAGGTCAACAAATTTACAGTACATCAACACAAAAGAAAAAAAAATCACACATGCAGTCAGTAACTAAAGCAATGTCATATTCTTACAGATTCAGCTTTTTCTTCCGATAAGCCTCTCAAGGCATTTTTTGCTGCGTTCTGTTTGGCTTCCTTCTTGTTCTTGCCCACACCACCAGGATAGGCCTTACCGTTCAGGACAGCTTTGAAGGTAAATCTGCAAAGTAATGAGAAGATCTTTGTTGATCTGACAAGAATGTGTTGTGATGTAGGACCAGAAGTAGACCTGCACAATGACATTCTATTGATGAAGACTCCATCCATCCATCATCTATACACCGCTTAATCCTCACGAGGGTCACCGGGGGGCTGGAGTCTATCCCAGTTGACTTAGGGTGAAGGCAGGGGACACCCTGGACAGGTCACCAGTCTATCGCAGGGCCACACTTAGAGACAGACAACCAAGCACACTCACATTCACACCTACGGACAATTTAGAATCACCAATTAACCTCAACATGTTTTTGGACTGTGTGGGAGGAAGTCAGAGAACCCAGAGAGAACCTACACTGCACGGGGAGAACATGCACAGAAAGATTCCGGTGCCCCCACCGGGACACGAACCGGCAACCTTCTTGCTGCGAGGCAAACAGTGCCACCTTGCAGCCCCTGATGAAGACTCCTCATGTGAAAACAAGAGATGCTAAAACACAAAGATACAGTCATTCATTCTGATATATTTGATTCACAAGGGTGGCATGTGGGGCATTGGTTAGTGGTTGTCATCTCACAGCTAGAATGTTGTGGGTTCAAATCTCGGTCTCTTTCTGCGTGGAGTTTGCATGTTCTCCCGGTGCAGCGTGTGTTCTCTCCGAGTTCTCTGGCTTCCTCCCACAGTCCAAAAACATGCCGAGGTTAATGAGTGATTCTAAATTGTTCGTAGGTGTGGGTGTGAATGTGCTTGTTTGTCTCTATGTGTAGCTCTGTGGTTGACTGGTGACCTGTCCTGGGTGTCCCCTGCCTTCACCCTGACTTGTCAGCTGGGATAGACTCCAGCACCCCTGGACCCTAGTGTAAGTGATGTATAGATAACAGATGGATGATTCACAAAGAAGGGCTGCACCATCAAAAAGATGTGCATGATTGCTTATGAAGCGAGATCATCAGTGTGATGTTTAATCAGAGGTAAGGAAAGCGGCTGTGGTGTGGGGAGGGCTTCGTTATCGATCAGAGGCAGCTTCAAGGGTGGCAGGCCTCCACCCAGAAGAAAGAGCAGAGAGGCAGCAGAGGATGGAGGGACGGAGGGACGGAGGGCAGGGCAGGCATTTCTAGTCATGGGTGACAGGATGGTGAGCATTTGAGGTGTGGCCCTGCTCTAAGTCGAACATGTTTACCTCCATATAATGATGTGTATCGCAGTTAAATTATTTTTTTTGTGGAACCAAAATGCACAGCTTGTGTCACCTATTATTATGACACACTCCTGTTATTCATCATATCTCAATTCAAGCTTGAAGCTATATTAGAAATTCATGTGTGGTAACAAAGTTAGTTGATCTGTGAAAACAACAACAAACTAAGAAGCGACTGGTAAGGTCAACATATATGGGAACACTGAATGTCATGAAGCAACAATGAAAATATACTTAATGCCAAATGAATACAATATGGCGCATGTATGAAAAGCTCTTTAAAGAGTTCAAGTGGGGGAATTCATGTTGAAACACTGTGCTCCCATTCAAAACGAGTCTGTCCAGGGAAACACCCGCTTGTCTTCGAGTCCTACACGTCTTTGCAGACCCACCAGTGTATGTTTAACTCACGTTTTTATGTGGTCAGGTCCTGCACATCCGACGTATTCGTATCTCAGCTCCCATCGTTTCCTTTGGTATAACTCGTTCAGTTTAGCTACGTAGTCTACCGACTCCATCGTGAAAACTCAAACTCAGCAGTCGGTAAAAATAACTTAAACGGCATTTAAAAAATTAGTGAGGAAAGTGCTAATCTCATACTAAAAGATCCATCTTTTCCGTTTTCATACCAGCTGTACTTCCATGACAAGCAAGTTTCGTTTTCCCCATAAACGTCACGGTGCCTTCACTTAATGTCGGACCTATCAAACACCGTGTTGTGAATAAAGTTATACATTAAAAAAATGGACAAGCTAGTAGGTGTTAGCTCTGTCAATAACTAGTTTGATAACTGCTACGTTTGGGGGCTTTTTCTTCCCTTTTCTTGTAAATGTATACTTGTTTCTTTTTGTAGCTTGTAGTAAAAATATGAACCTGCCCGTTATTCACCTTGTCAAACAGGTACGTCACCATTGAACAACTACAAGTTCCAAGAGGTTTGCGTGCCGCTACCTACAGCTAAGCCTCATGGGAGCTGTAGTTCAAACACACGTGTTTCTTTCTAAATAGATATCGCCATTAAACGGGTGATGACTTACATAAAGACAATTGTTTTCAGTATTACAAGTTTTCTGAGATGTAATTTTTAAATATGCACACAGATTAAATACGTTCTTTATGTATCTAAAATGTTGTCATTTGCATTCATTTCTACAGCACAAATCTGAACACTGGTTTTCTTATGTTTTTAGAAAAAAAAAATGTTCCAGCTGTAAATGACATATGAATAAGCCCATCTGTAAAAATAAATAAATAAAATAAAATAAAAATAAAATCTTTAGATTATAGGTACAAATATAGCTCTAAAGTTTGGTGTATTTAGATGTCACAAAAGTGGAGATTTCTAGCTCAAAGATGAGGAAAAAAAAATATTTTAAGAAAACAGCCTTCAAAGACACATCTTGTAAAAATCCAAAATTTCCTTATGAAAACAATTTTCTACTGGCTAAAATGTGAACTAAGAGATATCATCATGAAACTTTCACACACTTAAGATGATTTTCTGGAAGTAGGAAAAAAAAATGTAAAGACGAAGCAGGTCATCGGTACAGCACTTCAAAGCCTTCAGCACTGACAGAAATTCAAAAAAATGTACAACAGAACAGTATTTACAAGACAAATGACAGTTACACACAGGTGGTGGATTGTTTCTCCAACTCAGCCTATTTATTACAAGGCAAAGGTCATAATGTATATGACACAGTATAAATACATGTGATCATTTCCAGCATAGGATTAAAAGGAAAATTGTAGGCACAGAAGTTACCCAGCACATGATTACTTAGAACAAAGGCAGACGAAGGTTAAGCAATGCTAAAGTGACTTTTTGAAGTTCACCTTCAGTGAGCTCAAGATTTTTTTCACGATCTTGCTGTATGACCATTTGATGTTTTATATGTGCTAGAAGACACATCATTGGTGAAATAAGTAGTTTCCGAGCATTTCCACCTTAAAACTGCAGCGTACAAATGACTGTCCTAAAAACATGGATTCAGACTTTCAAGGTTTCATGTGTAACCCATCTATGGAGCCAGTCCTCCTATCATTCTTTTCCCCCAGTTCAAATATATATGGCTGAATTATTCCAATATTACAGTTTGCCATTGTGTAGCACAGAGTACTTTTACAGTGTTTGAGCAGAGTAGTAGGTGAGCCGGTGTGCCCAAGCTGCAGTGAGATGTAGACGCATGCAGGGACTTTGAAAATCTGCACATTCTAAAGGAAGCAACAGTGTAGAGTTACAGCTGAGCTGTTTTAGGATATAAAGAGATTCTTTTTATGGACAAACTTTTAAATATGTAACTTTGATTCACAGAGATTTTGTCGTTTGTTTTTAGTTTTTAGGGGTTTAATTAATCACTGGAGAGGGGCTTTAAAGTTAATATACAATCTGGTGTCATATTTTGTAAAACCCATGATGAAATATCTTCTTGTTAAGCTGTCCATTATTGACAAGGTTGACAATTGACCCCTGTCAGCATTCTGATGTGTTTTTGGAAAACCAAAGAACCATGGACTGCTGTGCATTGCATAGTTGTGGCTCTGAGGTTAAAGCATTATGTTAATATCAAAGGATTTCATAAAAATACAGATATCAAAAGAAACAGATTTCTCAACCTTCCTATGACTTCTCAAAAGTGCTCAAGTTAATCGCTAACATTTTCTGAATGATTTTGTGCAGTGAATGTCAGAGCCCATTTTTCCAGCTCTGCCTTCAGTGCGCTTGCTTCAGGTCTGTCTTCTGGCTTCTCACACAGCATTGACAGAATGATTTGGTTCTGCAAAAAAACACATTGAAAGAAAATATACTGAGATCAGTGTACCAACTTCAATATGCAATATTATCTGTCCTTTTTTGAGTGTGTAAACCTTTGCACCTTAAACTCAGCACTGTCTGGCTAGTGACAGGGTAACTGATCACCAATGAGACACTTCTTCATGTGCTAAGTTCATCAGTTATGAAAATGAGAAGATAAATTATAATATAGATCTACCTCTTGGGGAAACTTCACTGAAAATTCTTCAGGGAGCTTCTGACTTCTGGCATTAGTTAAAACCTAGTATTAGAATGACAAAAAGTTGAAAAACATGTTAGTTTGCATGAAAAAAACAACTAATAACTGCAATGATGGCTATTGCAAATAAATGCAAAATATATGAAGCAAGAGTTTGTTAGTTCTAAAGAGTAAAGATTTTTAATTAGATAAAAATCAAATATGTATTTTGATTTTTATACTGAGCTTTCAATACCTATGGAAAAGGCATCAACCACTGAAAAATTACTTTGTATTTGTAAATAACAGCCATATAAATTGTGGTAACCTTTATACTGTGAGCAAACCTTCAAAAAAATTAAAGCAGACTCTTACATTCAGTACTGACTCACCTTTCCTCTTTCATGTCCAGAAGAGAGCTTCCAAAGGAGTTCAAAATATATTAACCCCATTGCAAATATGTCCACTTTGCGGCCGTATCCTTTGCTCCTCTGTCACAAAACAGCAACACAGCGTCTTACACAACTCATAAATCAGTGAGACAGATTACATTACCAATTGATACTTACAAGGTAAAAGAAAATTGGCCATTTTCACTACTTAGATATTGTAGTTAAATGTGAAAGTTGAGATCTATTGGCTTAAAGCTGTAAAGAGAACATTACACTGAGAGCACCACTGAAACTATAAAACGAATAAAGATGAAGATGGGGAGGGTGGGGGAGAATGGTCACAGTTGTTTTTATCATACATTAGCATATTATTCTGTAGGTGGTTTTAACTTTAACTGTTAAAAATGGAAGCCTTTTCCAAGACATCTAAAATTTAAGTGTATACTTACAGTCATGAACAAAAGTTTCCATACACTTGTAAAGACCATGTGTGTCATTGAAGTTTTGAGTTTTCAATTACTTTTTTAACTCTAAGTTTTCTATGATAGAATTGTGAAAACATGCATCTTTATCAAAAAAAACAAAACAAACAAACAAACAAAACAATTTGGTTATTCCATAGATTTATTATAGGTCTTTTGATATGACATAATTTGCTGGGTCACAAAAATACATACAGCATCTTGAATTATCAGTTTTGGTGATGTAGAAAGCTGTGATAATCACATTGTCATAGTGGCATGGCCTCTTAAATTCTTGTGACTGATTACGATTGACTGCAGCTGCTGATTTCTCTGAGCCAATTTAAATAGGGCCAGTTTGATACACCTACATTTGTGTACGACTGTAAAACAAGAGGGTGAGGATAAGACACATGAACTGTAAATGTGCAACTTTTTTTTTTACTTTTTTTAATCAGAAGTGTACAACAGAATATTAGGGCCACATTAAGAAAAATATTTTTCGACAGACTTCGAGAATAAAGTCGTAATATTATGACAATAAAGTCATAACATTTAAATCAGTTGTTATAGAAGAGGAAAGTTGTTCAAATGAAGGCCGTGGAGCATTTTGTGAAGTTGTCCTTCAGCATCGGTTTCACAAACCAGGAGATACTTCATCTTTTGGTGCATCAGCACCACCTTATCATTTGTATCAGGACTTTGAAAAGAATCACCAAGAAAATGAATCTATTCCAAAGGTTCTTTCTTTGGAATAGATTTCCTCTTCTAAAACAACTGGTTTAAATGTTACAACTTTATTCTCGTAAAATTACAACTTGTTTCCTCGTAATATTACAATTTTCTTCTCTGAAAACTACGACTTCATTCTTGTAATATTACGACTTTTTTCTCGAGGTCTGTGGAAAAAATATTTTTCCTAATGTGGCCCTAATACTAGTATAAGGCCACGTTAGTCGTAGAATAGTCGTAAAAGTGGAACAATTAAGATCTTGTTTTTTTGTGTGTTTTTTTTTTTTAAAACATAGATGATCAAAAGACAGAATTAAAAGTCAATGTCAACATAGATTATCTTACTTGTTCTGGAGCCATGTAAGATTTGGTTCCTGCTTTGCCTGTTCTCTTCATCAGTTTTTCGATGTCATCATCAATTTCCGCAGTGGCCAGACCAAAGTCTCCAATCTTCAGTTTTCCATCTTTTCCAAACATGATGTTGACAGGCTGACCACAGAAAAGCCAAAGCAGCATTTCACACATTATGTAACACCTCATGTGTGGCAAGAAATTATCTGACAAACCCAGAACCTGCACTTTAACCTGATTGGTTCACTTTCCACAACAACAGCAACTAACATACACCATCACAGGTATCAGAGGAGCAGCAGCCTATGCCTGGCTCTTCCTGGGTTTATTTAAAGAATAAAAGGAATGCCAGCAATGTATGTATTTCAATTAAATCACAGTAGGATGCAAAAAAGGAGGAAAAGTTACCAGTACCAATGTGAACTAGCAGTAGATAATATTGGGTCTCACCTTCAGGTCTCTGTGGATGACCTTCTTGGAGTGAATGCACTCAACTCCGCTGACTATTTGCTGTGCTAGAGGTAAACTTTCTGCCCTTCGCTCGGACTCCTGCAGAGTTTTCTCATTCTTCTCTTTTATCCAGTCATGGAGTGTTTTGGTGTCACACAGCTCCATCTTAATATAGAGGTACTTTGGCGATGAATCACTAGAGGACCTAAAAAAAACACATATCACAAATCTGGTAAAATGACATACCCTCACGTTTAATAAATAAATGCAGTAAAGCAAAGACCTAAACAAGTAGATGAGACTTACTGAGAAGTGCTGTAACTGTCACTGTAACTGTTGTCCCACTGGGGTTCTGAATCCTCTATCCAACAATTGTAGTATCTAACGATATTATCATGAGAGATTTCACCTAATGTTGTCACCTCTCGTAGAGCTTTTCTGATCAACACAAACACAGACAAAATGTCTCAGTTAATAAAATGTTCTTACTTATCCTGCTGTGTAAACTGAAAACTTCCAATGCACATTTGACTTACTCTTTATAGTGAACAATCTTTACAGCATAAAACTTGTTCACCAGTTTTTCTCTTGCTGCGTAAACATGCCCAAAGCCTCCTCCACCAAGACATTTTATGGAATCAAATTCTGAAGAAAACCTATATAGAAAAGAAGGTAAAATCAATTACAAGGAGAGAAGTATGAGAGCCATCGTGGAAATGAAAACAAGTCATATTTTTCATACCGTGATTGAGCTGACGTCTCACTTTGTCTGTTTTCTGTGTTGTTGTTTGTAACAACATCCTACAAAAATACATGAGAAGACATGACAAGGATTTGAAAGACTCAATATTGCAAATAAAATCATGTAAACAATTCAAATTAATGGCTAATTAGGCATTATATAATGTAAAGGTGAATGTGTGCGGAGAGAGATTCATCATTTACACCTCCAGTTGTGAACAGAAACTGAAAATATAACAAAAATACACATACAGCCATGACAGGATTTGGTTAAATGTAATTCGGCCATTTTGACCTTAGCTGCATGCTTTTGGTAGACATCTAAAAATTTCTGGCAAGCTTCTTGAAGCATCTTTGACCATTCCTCTTGACTAAATATGACTGTATGACAAAGACTTGTTTCTTCAGCACAGTCTACAGGTTCTTGGTGGGGTTTAAGTCAGGACTTTGGGAAGGCACATTTAAAACTTTGATTCTAACCCTGCCATTGGTTTACCATTTTTGATGTTTGCTCAGGGTCACTGTCTTCTAGATCACCCAATTGCGCCCAAGAACCAACCTTCTGGTTGATGGTTTTAGGTTTTCCTGAAGAATGTGGAGGTAATCCTTCTTCATCATTATTCCAGTTACTTTGTGTAAATCACCAGTCCCACTGGCACAAAAACAGCCCCAAAGCATAATACTACCACTATCATGCTTGACTGTAGGTATGGTGTCCTTGGGGATTAAGGTCCTCACCATCTCTCCTCCAAACATGTTTCTGGTCATTGTGGTCAAATAACTAAATTTTTGTTTAATCTGACCATAGAACTTTCCTCCAGAAGGCCTTTTCTTTATCCATGTGATTCGCAGCAAACATTAGTCATTCTGCTTCTAGAGAAAGGGATTCCTTCTTGAACCAAGAATTTGGTGATTCTTGAGAATCCTGACCAACTGTCTCTCAGCTGCAGGTGATCGTTTATGTTGTGCCAGTGACTCAACTGCACCATGCACATTTTAATTACAAACAATTTTTTGCACAAATGACTTGGGGATCTGTGGCTGTTTGAAATGGCTTCAAGTGACTTCCCTGACTTGTTCAAGTCAATTCATTGCTTCTTTAGATAAGTACTCAGCTCCTCAGACTTTCCACTTGTAGTGCTTGTTCCTGAGTCTAATTAGTGTATGAAACGGGCCCTACTTCACCTGGCTCAGAGAAGTTAGCAGCTGTAACTGTAATCATCAACAAGAAGTTACAAGGTCATGACACTATTTTTGATTAACACAGCTTTCTACCTAACCAAATCCGATCATTCGTATACTTTTAACCCAGAAGATTTTGTCATATTTCCAGAAGACTTGAAATAAATCAATGAAAGAAGTGTGTGTGACAAAGACAAGTGTTTCAGTGATTCCACCATACACAATTCAGAGCTCAAGAAGTCCAGAAACTCAAGACTGCCTTGATATCGATGGTCATTACAAGTGTATGTAATCTTTTGTTCACGACTGCACCTGCACCTCTCTATATTTCTTATCAACATAAATGATTACTTCTTGACTTCATTGTTATCTTTATATACATAGCATGCAGAATATAGATGGTGGAATATTATTTTTGATCAATTTCAGAGTTTTTAAGATAATGAGCAAAACAACAGACCTTGTCCTTGGATCGATGTGATGAATCTGTGAACAATACGGAGTCACTTGTAGATGTTTGCATGCTTTGTGACGATGCTTCAACCGACTCCCTGGGAAAACATAATAAAAGACATGAATATAGCTTTCTCAGTACTAAGTTAAACATTTGGCTTTAATACTAATATTATCAATTGTCTTACAGTGAAGATGGAGTTGACAACATGGTTGGTGGACTGTCAACAGACACAGCTGACTGGAGAGACACCTAAAATCCAATCATAGTCAGTGTGAATTTGGAAAAAACATACTCCCTAACATTTTTTAATTCTGAAAACAAGAACAAGACACTGAGCAACTCTTTGCAACTTTTGACCTTACAAATGGAAATTAAAAAAACAGAGACCTGAGTCTTATGAGTGTTCGATGAGTCTGTCAATGCTACTGGTTCACTTGTGGTTCTTTGCAGGATTTGTGACGATGGCTTTGACTCCCTTGGAATTACAAAGAGAAATGTTAGTACAGTACTATTTGTGTCAAACTGTATCATCTGCTCCATAATACTCTACTGTTTGCTTACAGATTAGATGTTGGTGACGACATCGTTGGTGTACTGTCTTCCGACATGGTTGACCTGAGGGACACCTAAAATGAGCAAAATATGTGACATTATTAATTAGCTGGTGTTGAGATTTTCTGTGACTACTGTTGCTCTTAGACTTGTTCAGAATTCACTTTGTTGTTGTTTGGGATTCAAAATTCCAAAAAGTTCTGTAAAATGCTTTCAGACTTGGAAATTTTTGTATTTTCACCCTCAACATCATCTATATATATCTCAAAACAAGTATGGCAAACCAAGCTTCCACTTTTGACATGTAAAATGGCGATGTGGACTCATTCATAGGATGACAAAAACTGCTGTACTTTGAGGTTTATATATTGGCAATAGTTGCTTCTATCTTGACTTATTTTAATATTTAACAACATATGAGGTCTGTTTTGCCTCAGCGAATGATCCCATAGCCGAACTTACTTTCAGGGTCCCACACAACAAATAAAAAATGCCTGAATAAAATCAACTACGGCAACATTGTTATCTGAAATGAAACGGATTGATGTTTTAAATTAGGAACTTTCTAAAAACAAGAAAGTACAACACACAGAGGTCCAGAGGTCCCCTGAGCAATAAATCGGAGGGCTGACTACGACCATTGAAAATTTCTGCAGCTCTGCTAAAGTGTGATAAAATTTATTTTTTAAGAATGAATGTTGATCAATAAATGCAAATCTAATAAAGAGACACACTAAAGCTATATAAACACACTAAACAGAATGAAAGTATAAATACCTTGCTGTCCCAGTCTGACTGATCCTGAAGAGCAGCCCAGGCCAGTTGAGCTGCCTTTTGTCTGGCTTCAATGATGCTTGTTCCCTTCCCTTCAGGGTAATCCTTATTGTTGATCACCAATTTGTAGGTAAATCTGTGGAAACAGGGATGAAATATTAGAATCTGAAGCAACTTTTATATGCTTTGATATTCATCAAAACCTCAAAATGTGTGCCTTTCGCTTAAATTCAAGTTACAAATTTTATTCATACTTACTGAGGGTTATGTGGAGGACCAGACCTTTCCACTTCAATATAATTAAAGGTTCGCTTTGTCCTTTGACAGTAGTGGTCAACAATTCCAATGAAATTTGTCCGTTTTTGGTCTTTGACACCCAAACTCTGACATGCGAGCCTGGCTGCTTCCTCCTTAGCTTCCTTCTTTGAGACCCCATAGCAAGTTGGATACGTCTTACCACCAACTCTGAAGGCACAGCTTTTTCTGTAACATCATAAAAGACTTCATTAGTTTTAGAACAAAACATAATAAATATGATTTCCAAATCAGTGTTGAAGCTTACCTAAACGTCATAAGACATATTGACTCCAGAGGTTTTATGGTGAGCTTCTCCCTCTGACAATACTCAGTGAGCAAGCTTACATATTTGGCATCAGATATACTTGTCTGAAGAAGCTGCTGTGGTAGATTTTCAGCAGCGTTTTCTGTCTGAAACAAAAAAAACAGTAACATCACTTACAACATGAACTAGTCTTTCACTCTTAACATAACAGATAATCCAACACGTGTTTGTACAGGAGGTGATAATCTTACTGAGTCAAATGGAGCTTGTGCCATCTTCCATGAATGTCCCAGAGTATTTGTGTTTGGATTCCTTCTTAGTCTTCACCCCACTGCAGACAGAGTTTACCATTCAGGACTGCTCTTGTGCTAAATCTGATGAGAAATTTTCAAAGCTTTGGTTATACAGGCAACTTGACTTGTGCTGAAATTGGTGGTGGATACAATAAAACATGTAGCTACAATCAACACCAAGGGAACCTATCAGCAACCTTATTTTAAGAATTTAATAGTTTGATTTTGGAGGAATGTATGGATTCCTGATAGCATACTGTAAATGTCGCAGATGATGGATGTGACACTAAATGCACCTTTGGGGTACTTATTACTCAGTATTTTTCCTCCACCACACCTACCTGTAGATGAGAAATTCATTCATTTCTAATTCTGCAGACCTCCTTGTGTGACAGTTTTGTTGTTGTCCCATGTTGTACTGCTCCATCACATGCTTTAAATATCATATACATTGTATATTGAGATGAAGCTTGCCTTTAAATAATTATATGGCAATTCAGAGGGTAATATCTGTCAGAAAAAGTGCAGTCAGATTACCAAGATGATCTTAATAATTTGCTTCTTCATCAGCACACCTTACTGTCATGACATGTGACTCTATAGTCCAGTTTTTGAGAGTGACCTAAGAAGTTATACATTTTGTAACCTTTTCTTTTTGTGCTGTGGTGGTATTAAGCACTTTATAGATACAGTGGTCCTGAAATGTATTCATACCCTCCCATTAAAAAAGGGAAAAAAACAGCTGTCACTGAAATAAGTTATTTTGACCCACTGCTCATCAGCAAAGTGCTTCAATTTGTCCGGGACAGTTTTTGTTTGTCTGTTTTTTTTAATTATTTTTTCAACCACAATTCAAGAGCAATGTCTTATTTCACTAAATTATAATTTAGCAAATTTTTATTTATTATTACTTTTTTGAGTTTCTAGTTATTTGAGTGACTATTGTGAATTTTGCCTTTTCTTTAATGGAAGGATATGAATAAATTAGAGGACGACTGTAGAAATTTGTACAACTCAATTGTATTTTTATGACAAGAGCTCTTCTTATAGCAGCTCTGACCGTTGCTAATATTTCAACTGCTTTCTTCCCACTGAGTGAAATAAGTACAACTAAGGCAGAATAAGCTAAAAATCAGCTACGTGTAGATCCAAGCTTATGTGCCAAAATCTTTTTTCAACTCACCTTCTGTCGTGGTGGAGGCCTTTACAACCAGGTCCCTCATATTTCAGCTCCCAGCATGTATCCCTCCATAAACGACGAAGCAGTGAAAAGTTCCATTTAAAAAAGCGCTGCGACAACAAAGGGCAAACCTTCGAGTACAAAACGTTTATGTCTTTTCTGCTTTCATGATATCCACGTCTCCGCAGGCAGCTACATGCAGCCGCCTTTCTCGACTTTAAGTTTCGATATCTGCTTGTGAACGTCATTTCCACGCCTTCAGCACTCAGGACAAATGTGGACACGGAAGTAGGAAATCTGAGTGTAACGCCAGAGACTGGGCCCAGGACGGGACTCGAATCCGAGACCTTTGAGCTAAGAGGCGACAGCGTTAACCACTGCGACATTTAACTGATGCATTCACGCACTAGTAGATGTATTAAATGTTAGTAAGATACCACACATATGCAAGTACTTGCACCCAATTAAGAAAAATAATCCCCTTAGTTATTTATAAGGAATTTACATCACTGAGATGTGTGAAGCACTTTGATGTCAAAGATCCTCCCTGATACTAACATAGCAAGAGGAATAAATCTGTGCAGGAGCAAAAATATATATATATATTTTTTGCCTAAAACGTCCCTCTGTTTTAAAAGGATAGTCCAACAAAGTCAAGAGTCATCAGTTTTTACTGCATGTTAAGTGTTTTATAGTCCCCATCCCAGTACAGAGAAAACACATGAATGCATTAAAATGATTTACTCATATAGATCTGCAAGGTGGAACAGTGGTTAGCACTGTTGCATCGCAGCAAGAAGGTCACCGGTTCACATCCCAGTGAGGACACCTGGGATCTTTCTGCGTGGAGTTTGTCCCGTGCAGCATGGGTTCTCTCCGGGTTCTCCAGCTTCCTCCCACAGTCCAAAAACATGTTGAGGTTAATTGGTGATTCTAAATTGTCCGTAGGTGTGAATGTGACTGTGCTTGGTTGTCTGTCTGTAAGTGTAGCCCTGTGATAGACTGGTTACCTGTCCAGGGTGTCCCCTGCCTTCGCCCTAAGTCAGCTGGGATAGGCTCCAGCCCCCCCCCACGACCCTAGGGAGGATTAAGCGGTGTATAGAAAATGGATGGAAAGATAAATAAAAAAAATGATACAGTATGATATTGCACATGAGGTAGATATGTTGCACATAGCATGGGGTATATTGCATGTGAGAAAAACTGGGTATACTGCAGTCATTTTGTGACACTGAGAAAAATATGTTTATTGTTTTGCACAAGACTGCATCACTTTTAATACATATATACACTCTTTTCCAGGTTTCAGCATGTAGAGTACACAAGCAAAGTCTTCAAACTCTCTTTCATTGACTTGCGCCAGGTCTGTCTTCTTCTTCTGCTTTACACACAGCATTGACCTGGTTCTGCAATGACATGGTTCTGCAATGACATGGTTCTGCAATGACACATAACAAAAGAAGATCACAACACATCTCTTTCTCTTAATTTGAGCAGACTGATTTCAGGTTGTTTACATTTGCCTATTGGGTCAATGTACTCGTGGATCTCGAATGAATAGAACATTGTGAAAAAGCGGAATTTTAAAAATGCTTTTCCATCACATTTGTCGCATCAGGTCATCCCCTGAGAGAGCCCTTTTATTTCATGTTTCTGTTTTACCTCTCTGGATCAGGCTCTTCTCTTATCAGAGTTTATCGACACTAAATGTTTCCTCTGGTTCTTCCCTCCTCTTCACGGCCTCTGTAGCTCGTGGATCTGCTTGGTTTTGAAGAACTTTTAAGTCAAAATGTGAACAGTGATGCAATGTAACTGAGAACAGATTTGAAGGTAATCCTGCAGAGTAAAATGCAAATACATACAAAAAATGCCAAGGTAGAGAAATGTTGGGGATAAACAGTTGTCAAGACGCTGACATTCATGACTTAAACAACAGGGAAGCAATTCAGTGAGTCAATCAAAAATATAATAAAAAATCTCCTCAACTGTCAGGATCTGTTGCAAAGTCATAAGTCAGTGTCACTGACTCACCAGACCAGGTTAGTGTGTTGAGCTTGGTCTCTATTTTCCTATGTACCCTCAGACTGAACTGCCAAATGACATTTTTTGGGGGGTTTTTTTGTGTTTTGTTTTTTAAAAAGCACTTTCAAATGTTGAATCATTGTCATAATCTTTTAAAGTGCATTAAAAGTGGTTAAAAACAATAAAAACAAACAAAAACTGAAGCAAACACCTGGACATGTCCTGATCCAGATCTAGAAGATAGCTGAAGAGCAGCAGCTTTTGTAATTCTACCTTCAAATGTACACATAACCTTGCTGATTTAATCATGTTTGTGTGTAAAAGTTAAACGTGGGGAAAATAAATTGTGAAAATGAAAGACAATTTTGTTCAATAATGAACGTTTTATTATCTTGTTCCTTCTACTATCCTTCTATAAAAGGCTAGGCTTATTAAAAATAAAAAAGTTCAAATACTACAACTTTGGGGCTCCATATATTTCTGAAAGAGGTGATGGAAACGTACATGGAAAAAGAGTGAACAATGAAAACAAACAAACTGACAGTATTGATTATTTATTTAGCCTCATAGCAACAGTTCTTAGAGGCATCTGTTAAAGGAGCGACTATAAAATGACTGCAGACCTTTATTCAGTCTTTTTTTTGCATTTGGACATTGCAGACTTTTGCAAAACCCTGAATACTTGAAAGCTAAACTCTTTGGAGATTTAAACACTGGAAAGCATCTAAAAAAAAAAACTCCCTTGCTGAAGAATGACCTCTGTGGATTACTAAAGACAAAAACACACAGTTAGCATGACGGTGAGGGAATAAATTCATACTTTTCATTAGTTGACCTCCATCTATACTTTAAAACCACTTACAAAACTGAGAGTAAACTGTTGAGTTTGTTAAGAAAGTGAATGTTTGATGGCCTGTTTAAAAAACATAGTTTGGGTGATACTAACGTTTTCTTGGTGTTAGTCTGAGTTTTACTGTCTGAAAAGTCCCGGTACAAGTGAGGAGTGTGATAACAGCAATGTAGTAACTTGGGTTAAAGGTATCACTTGGTTGAAATTGACGTTAACGTTTTAGAAACAAGTGGCAGGGCCATTTAAATACACGAAAGAAAGATTTTCATTAACCAGGGAGAAAGTTTCAGAAACAAGATGGAAGCAGGAACATTTTTCATACAATGATAAAAAAACAAATAAATATTTTTTGGTAACCATGGATAAAGTTTTAGAAATAAGCTAGTGGCAGGGGGAAAAAATAAAAAAAGAAATCTGCTATGTTTAAATGTTTGTTTTCTTCTTCTGCAGAAGTCTGGTGGTTTAACACATGCAGCAGTTCTCAGGTGGACACACAAGCAGCCAAATGTAATGTTAGCTGCTGCAAAAGCCATCGTTTCTTGGTTCTGTTTTGATCAGCAGCTTCTTTGTTGCAGTCATTTGTAAAATTCTACACACTGCACCACCACGTGAGTGGCATCGACTTACTCCCGTCATCCTTCAAGTGCATTTGGAGGTGAGATCTTTGATTAACTCAGTCAGCCTGCAGTTTTGCTAACAGTTTCAACTATGCTTTGGTATTATAAATAAATGTGATGAAAAGAATGCACTTCTTGTGTAACACCTGGATGCAGGTGGCAGGTGTAGTCAGAGGTGGTCATGGCTCAAGTTATAGATGCCACAATTAAGGAAAAGTCTACCAAGCACATGCTCCCTCTCTAACTTTAAAATAAATAAAGTTTGACGTACTAGATGCACTACATGAGCACAAAATTAATTAGCTATGGTAGCAAGGGTGTGCATGCCCTGCTAACAAACTGTCAGACAGAAATATATAAACAGAAAGTTGTCACAATCATCACAACACAAAGTGCTGCAGAGATCCTAAAAAGGAGAATCCACTGACAGTGACCCCCAATGCAGCAACACGAAACTGTAAAAAAATAAAATCAGGATGAATGTTAATCCAATAAAGTGACACAATAAAGCTATACTAACACACTAAACAGAATGAAAATCTAAATACCTTGCTGTTCAAGTCTGACTGTCCTTTGAAGCCTTTTGTCTGTCTTCAACGATGCTCCTTCCCTTCCCTTCCCCTCAGGGTAATCCTTATTGTTGATCACCTATCTGTAGGTAAATCTGTGGAAACATGGACAAAATATTGGAATCTGAATCAACTTTTACACGATTTAATATTCATCAAACCTATGCAAAGTCCCCTTTCGCTCAAATTCAGGTTACAAAAGTCCAGTCATACTTACTGAGGGTGATGTGGAGGACCAGAACTTTCCACTTCAATGAAACTAAGGGTTCGCTTTGTTTTTTGACAGTAGTGGTCAACAATTCCAAAGAAATTTGTCTGTCTCCGAAAACAAAAAACATAAACATCACTTACAATGTAAACTAGCCTTTCACTCGTAACATAACAGATAGTCTGGAGCTTTTGCCATCTTCAACAAGTATTTGTATTTTCTGTTTTGTTCGGCTTCCGTCTAAGTCTTCACCCCACTGCAGACAAGAGTTTACCATTCAGGACTGCTCTTGTACTAAATCTGGTGGGAAATTTTCAAAGCTTTGGTTATATAGAGGAGGCTGCAAGGTGGCTCGGTGGTTTGCACTGTTGTCACACAGCTAGAAGGTTGCTGGTTCGTGTCCTGGTGAGGACACCCAGGATCTTTCTGCATGGAGTTTGAATGTTCTCCCCGTGCAGCGTGGGTTCTCTCCGGGTTCCCCGGCTTCCTCCCACAAGGTCCAAAAACATGTTGAGGTTAATTGGTGATTCTAAATTGTCCGTAGGTGTGAATGTGAGTGTGCTTGGTTGTCTGTCTCTAAGTGTAGCCCCGTGATAGACTGGCGACCTGTCCAGGGTGTCCCCTGCCTTCTAACTGATGTCTAAACAGTCATCAGTTTTTAATGAATGCAAAGACTACTGAACTTAGTGCCTTCATGCCTCCCCACAACAGAAACACACACACACAAATACGATAAAGAAATTTACTCATATGGCTGTTAAAAATCATATTTCAGCCATCTTGTGCAAGACTGTACAACTTTTAACACATATAAACAATCTTTTCCAGATTAAAATAAATTATTTGTAGTAGTAGACAGTACCTGAGGCAATGGTACACATTTTAGTGAATGTTTGATTCTCTTATTATAAAATGAAGTCCATGAACCCTTTTCCACCACATAAACATGACTAATGGTGTCATATTAGACAATGAAAATGCAGTTGTTAAAAAAACTACGTTCGGCATTCAGAACATCCACATATATTACAGAAGGTGACACTGAACAAATAGTCATACTTGTGATGACTAATGTGCAGAAATAGTCAGACAGTTCTAATCTGTCGATGCATATGTTTTATGGTGTAAAGTGCATGAGCGCAATCTTCAAACTCTTTCTTTAGTTGACTCGCTTCGGGTCGGTCTTCTGGCTTCAAGCACAGCATTGACTTTATAATTTGGTTCTGCAATGACACATAAAAGAACATCTTAAGAGCTCTGGATCAGAAAGTGCTGCCACCATTTGTAAAACCTCCGCTTCCTACATTCAGGCTTCACATGGAAAACTAGCCTTATGAAATTCAGATTGCCCCTTTCTTATAAAATTATCCAAAAGTTCTGCTTAATCTTTTGTACTCGCATATGAGGTGTGTCAGAAAAGTTCCAGGACTGGTGTCACAAAAGATATATTTCAAACCCAAACTACAAACTACGAATTTTCCCCTTCAGATGATCAACCAGCACATCAACAAAGAGATCCTACGGCGTTTGCTTTGTTCAGTGTGTGAGAAGAGGCGAGACAAGTCGTGGCTGCTTCACCATAACAACACGCCTGCTCACAATGCCCTGAGCATCCGACAGTTCCTGGCTGAGAAGAACATCGCCATGCTGGAGCAACCTCCCTACTCACCCCACCTGGCTCTGTGGGATGTTTTCCTCTTCCCCAAGCTCAAGTGGACGACATCAAGCTGGCTGTGACGACAGAGCTACGGAGGATCCTGGAAGAATCCTTCCAGAAGTGAATGGCGACGTGGCAGAGAAGGCTGGGGAAGTGCGTTAGACTCCAGGGGGATTACTTTGAAGGGGAAAACTTGTAGTTTGGATTTGAAATATATCTTTTGTGACACAAGTCCTGAAATTTTTCTGACACACCTCATACATACAAAGCAACAATCCTGTTGTGGCTCTTAACACTTTGAGGAGTAACTGTTGGAGCAACGCTTGTACCTCAGTCTCACGTCTTCCATGTTGTGGAGTATTAAAGCAAAGGCCAACCTGAAGCTAATACTGTTTAATGTTGAGTAAAAGCGAAAAAAATATCGATGTACCTCTTGCGGAAAATTGGGCAAAAATCCATGAGGAAGTTTCTGGTTTCTGGCATCTTCCCAAATCTGGCATTTCATGCAATGGAAAAAGATTTAAAAAAAACATGTCAGTGGTTGTACAAAAACTGAGAAAGTGTCCATGTTCTAAACTGTAATTTAAGAAACAAAATTAAAACAATTCTTAACATATCAAGTCACTGACAAGTGCAGCCACATTTATTTATTTTTTTTGTCTTTGACAAACTCACCGCTTTCCTGTCAGGGCCAGCAGGGAGGTTCCAAAGAAGTTCGAAATATATCAGTCCCAAAGCAAATATGTCTACTTTTCGGTCATATGTGCTCCTGCTTTTCTGTCATGAAACAACAACAGAATATTTAGTGCTGTGAAACCTGCGATGCTTGCGTTCTCTTCTCTTATCTATCACAAAAAATTCACAGAGCCTAAGTTACATTTCTCATTGTTTCTTCACTATTCCTGACAGCCAAAAACTGTATGTGCAAATTGTGATATTCTGCCAGTGTGCATGCTGTGACTCAGTTACCGACCGCAGTAACAGACTGATGCCAACTGATTAATCTGGTAGAGGAGAGCAAAGAATAAAACCCAGTAAAGAAAGATGAAACACTTCTCAGAGAGGCCCAAGAATTAGGCAGCTGGACTCAACACGTAGGAGGTCAGACACCTGAAGGGAGCTCAGAGTAGAATTGTTGCTCCTTCTAATCAAAGGGAGTCTGTTTAAATAGTTTTGGCATCTGACAGGAGCGCCTTTTCGAGATCTTTTCACCCCAGTCGACTGGTGGAAAACCCAGAGGTTCTAAATCATGGAAATTATCTGTCTGGTAGAGATGGGGGGCTTTTCTGGGGGGAGGGACATCTGGACTACTTTGCTTTCTCTTTACCATCAAAATTACTAGCAACTGGAGTGGGGAGTCTGCAGCAAGAGCAGTAGCACCAGCACAGGCAATGCAATGACAAGGTCTTCATTTCAAATTGCAACCTGGTTGTTCCATCTTAAGTCATTACATTTTTATAATTATTTCTGATTCTGTCGTTTTGTGTTTCATTAGGAATAAACTTGTCCTTCAAGACCAATGTGACAAGCTGGATTCTGTGCAGAAAGTTTAGGTCTGAGAACATTTTCATTTACAGTCACTGTTCCATAGTTTACAAAGTGGGGTCTGTTCAGAAATATATATTTTCTTAGTCATATTTGGAGAACCATTTTGAAAATCCAGAACTCTGTATCTAGCAATATTTTTGTTTTTGTGGTACAACTTGTCATACCTGCTTAATCAGTTATGACATTTTCATGTTTGTGATTTCCTATTAAAAATATTCCATATGTTTTGTTTTGTAATATTGTGACATGCAACTACACACGGTTCAGAAAATAATTTTATATTTAAATGAGTTTGTGCATCTCTGGCAATCAGAAGGAAAGAGGCAAAACCAGCTAAATAGCACCGAGAGTGCTGAAGTCAGTCCCTCACTAAGAAATATTTGATGAGAAACTACAATTAATATCAGTTTATATCACTCACCTGCTCAGGAGCCATGTAAGATGGTGTTCCCTTGTACTCTGTTCTCTCCATCAGGTTCTCAGCATCATCATCAGTCTCAGTAGTGACCAAACCAAAGTCTCCGATCTTCACTTCTCCATCCTGACCAAACATGATGTTTGCAGGCTGACCATTTAAAAAAAAAAATGAAACAATGAAACAAATAAACACCTAGCTCTTTAAGTAATACACAGCAGTCAACAAGAATCTTTTCCACTCCGGCTCACCTTCAGGTCTCTGTGGATGAGCCTCTTAGAGTGAAAGTACTCGACTCCGCTGACTATTTGCTGAGCGATGGCCAGACTTTCCTCCCTTCTTTTGAAGTCTCGCAGAGATTTTTTCGCATTCTGAGTATTCCTCTCATCTATCCACACTCGCAACGTTCTGGTGTCACATAACTCCATCTGAATATAGAGATACTTGGCAGATGAATCACTGGAAGACCTTGAAATGTAAGAAAGGACAAATGAAGGAATTACGCACCTCCATTATAAATAATGTGTAAAGTTAATAGTAGAGCAAAGAGCCTGAAGCCCTCTGGGGACTTGGCCACCACTTTCATTGTACTGGTGCCATGTGCCAATAAAAGACTATAAAGTACTGTACGATATAAAGAAGTAAATGATAGGATATTTTCAGCACAGCCTGGGTTATCTAAATGTGAATGCTGCTGTAGATTTTAGTTTTATAATATAGAATGTTTGCAAACTACACATACACGCAAACATGTAGGTATGTTTGGTTTCCTGCAACTTTTAAAGCCAAAGACAACAACCAAACGTATCAAGTGAATGCTTTTCAAGTAGCTCACAACTAAATTGATGAGACTTACAACGAAGTGCTGCAACTGTCGCCTGTACTGTCCCACTGGTATTCTGAATCCTCCATCCAACATGTGTAGTATCGAACGATGTTGCTGTGGTGAAGGTCCGATAGCGTCCCGACCTCCCGCAGAGCTTTTCTGATCAAAAGGAGTACAAAAAAAATGTCTGTTAATCCAATTTCAAATGCATTTTTGTGCTGCATCTGTTAATTTTTTGTGATCACCACATTTGAAAAAAAAGTACATCAAGCACCAGTAAAATAACAGTATCTCCATCAAGAATTAGAACTCTTCAACTTTAACTAGAGTCAACTATCACGCTACAGTGGTCTTAGTGTTCCCTTGCTGTCACCTCGACACCAAAAACTCCCAAATTCTCAGCATTATTAATAATGAATAATAGTACATTATTCAAGAGCAGCATAAAATAGAAGCATGTCATGATCATAGTTGTTAACAGCACATCACATTGGATGAAGGATCTATGCACATATTGGGGCATAAAGTACAGATTGGACAAAATAAGTTTCATCAGGTGTTTTTTGTTGGTTTTTTTCCAATAGAGCGAGCCGAGCCCTGAGGTGAAGCGTGTCGGTCTTCTGATTCGTTGAGACAAGAACAGATGACTGTTTGCTTGAACAGCAATAATGCATTTACCCTTGCAGCAAATAGTGCAAATAACTCTCTAATGTTTCATAACTAGCTCCTTACTGGAGTACAATGACAATATTGCCTTGCTTTTTTATTGTCTTCTCCACTGACCATCAACTTATGATAAACTTTTGCATACAGTTCTAAACTAAGTCTATTATCATGATGCTATGTAGCTACCAAATGCACATTTAGTGTCCCCTTTTACCATATTCTTACCTGGAAACATTGAAAAGTCAGACAAAAGCAATATTTTCAAACAACATCTGATTAAAAACTGCTGCCATATCAACCTGCAAAAACTACTGTGGTCAGCTACAAGTTAGAAGCTGCTTTTATCTGAAATCAAGAAACCACTATTCCAAAAAAGATGAGACAGTGAAGGGTGAACTGAATTGTTCACTCCAGTGCAGCACATTCATTGCTGTTTTGTTGTTGTTGTCATCTAAAAATATTATACAATGCATATTAATAAAATGAAACAAAATTGAAAATTTGACTTACTCTTTGCAGCGGACGATTTTTATTGCAAAGTATTTGTCCAGCAGTTTTTGTTTTGCCTTAAAAACACGACCAAAGGCACCTTTGCCAATGCGCTCTATGGAGTCAAATTCTGACATAAACCTGCTGGGATTAACACAAGCAACGTTAAAAACATAAAATTGTCTTTCCAATTTTACGCATAATGTATTAAAAACATTCTCACAATGTCGCCCAGTGTTTTTCATACCTTGAAATGACTGTTTTACTTGAATTTTTCTCACTGGAACTTTTTTCTTTGTGCTTTTCTTTACCATCAGAGATCTTCATATCCTAAAAAATAAAAATACATTGATCACGTGGAGATTAATCAGGTATACAAAAACCAACCATGTGCATTAAAATGACTAAGCAGCTTTTCTGTACCTCTTTTCTCCTTCTGGAAGAAATTTGGAAGTTTGCTGCAATTCTTGTAAGACAAGAAAAGTGATGATCAGCAATAATGTCAGGGGAAATATTACAAGAAATGGGTTCACAACAGACATCAGTATCGACTTACTTTCTTTTGGACTTGAAATCAGGATTTTTATCCTGAAGTTAAGATGGGGAGTAAGAGAATATAGTTAGTCAAACTATAAATGTTTGTTACATACATACATATATACAATTTGTTTTTGTTTTTTAGAGATGTCTTTTGCATAAAATGGCCTGTTCTTGGACTGCATTTACTGGCAAATAGCAGTTGTTTGAGTTCTACACCACTTCTAGATGACTTTCCTCACAGCAGAAAGATGTATTTCAAATAATCTGGAGAACATTTTAAATCCTTTGCCATACACATTTGCATCAGTGTTTTCTAAATGGCTGATGGAGCACTTGAGATCTTGACCTGGTGACACAGCACACTAGAATAGCAAAGAGAACAACAGACCGTCAATGTCAGAGACCTAAACCGGACAGATTCCACCTGTTACTCTCTGAGGAGGACCTGATCTTTGGCAACTAATCTGGAAAACCTGACTTGAGTTTTCTGGATTCAATAGTTTGATGCATGTGATGACTTTTTTCGTGTGACTAATTCGTTGTAGTTTGTTCACAGCTGTTAATAAAGTCAATATTTCCTTATGATGTAGCTGTTTTTTCACATGACTGTATATGTACAGCTCACAACAAGTAAAAAGATTTTTAATAACAGAAAAAAAGCATCAATTGACACTGATTAAGTTGAGCACACTAAAGTGGAGTGGGACCTACTGTAGATAAATTCTAACAGCTTATCACAGCTGTTCAAAAGACAGCAAACTGTTCAGACTTAACCATATACAGCTTTGGAATATTTTTTAAGATCACCACCTATCGTGAAATCTTCATAACAGGTGATGATTTAGTTTGAACTTTATCAAATTGGTTAAATAATTACAGCATCTTCTAAAAGACAAAGATAATTGTATTGTAAACCAATACATGCAATAAATTAGGTTTAAAAAAAAACAAAAAACACAATATATTCAAACTGTAAAATCCTCTAAATTCCCACTAGATGGTTGAAAACCTTTTGTTTTTGAGTCACCATTACTTTGTGTGTAAGCTGTATATGTAAGGTCAAAAGATATTTCAAATGAAGCTGTCACTCAACAATGCCTTAAAGAAGGGAACTGCAAGATGACGAGAGGAAAGTGATGCCGGTGCCTAATGAAGAGAGTCGCCACTAATCAGCAAAACGCTTGGAATCAGCAAAACGAATGTGCATTTCAACTGTAAGAAAAACCTGCAGCATTACTCCACCAGGAAACGGTGGTAATAACGGTCTAACAGTTACTTCCAAAGCTGTAAGAAGAGTGGAGGTTACAAACAACAGACCTTATCTTTGGAAGGGTTCGATGGACTGATGACAATCGCTGAGTCACTTGTAGATGTCGGCATGTTTTCTGATTTCGCATCAAGGGATTGCCTTTAAAAAAAAAAAAAAATACAGTGAGAGATATTATTGAAATATGCTCAACATTAAAATGTACTATCTGTTGTGCTACTCATTGAGTGCCTCACAGTGGACTTGGTGCTGTGGGCAGCCTGGATGGTGCAACATCATCAGACACAGGTGACCAGGATGTTACCTAAAAAGCACAAAGTGTTTGTTACATACTGATCCTCTCATGTGCAATAATAATAATTAGCACAACATTAATGTGGCAGTTTCTTAAGATGAGACATGTCTTTTGTCTTTACTGGATAGTCGGAGTGAAGACGGACACAAAATGTTGGGAGGGAAAGCAGGACACCTTCACCAGTTGGTCATCAGATCGCCCAAAGATGAACTATTTTCATGTTTTATTATGTAAAACCACAAAGAACCTCCCCGAGCATTCTGATACTACCACTGTATAACTGCAGACAGATTGTTTTTTTAATAGTGTTTGTAGTTTTGATCATTTAATCATTTGGACCCTCCTCTTGCCTGGTGGTGCGGCGATAAAGTGACAAAGTGCAAGAATACCTTTAACCATGTTTCCAGTCATTGAGTAAGACAGAACAGGAGGGTCAGTGTTTTAATATTTTCAAAAATATGAATAAATGAGAAAAGCAAGTTTCAACAACATTTGTGTAACTTTTATGACATTATTCTCAAAATATTTTGATTTTGCGTGGTCGACCCAGAATAGTACATTTTGCCATGGAATATTTTTTGGCATTGTTTTTGTTGATCTATTTTCAACAAGAAAACAAAACTAAATAAGAAGGTATATTTCATGAATAGAACTATTATGAAATGTGTAGCATTTTTAATCAGCAGACAGAGGAGAAAGTGAAATGTTCAAGAGGTATAAATGAACAAATGACCTATCTATAGAAGTTTTCACTGCTGCCCAAAATATTTCTTGTAACTTCATCCATCCATCCATTATCTATACACCGCTTTATCCTCACAAGGGGGGGCTGGAGCCTATCCCAGTTGACTTAGGGCGAAGGCAGGGGACACCCTGGACAGGTCGCCAGTCTGTCGCAGGCCACACTTAGAGACAGACAACCAAGCACACTCACATTCACACCTACGGACAATTTAGAATCACCAATTAACCTCAACATGTTTTTGGACTGTGTGGGAGGAAGCCGGAGAACCCGGAGAGAACCCACGCTGCACGGGGAGAACATGCAAACTCCACGCAGAAAGATTCCGGTGACGCGAACTGACAACCTTCTTGCTGCGAGGCAACAGTGCTACCAACTGCGCCACCTTGCAGCCCTCTTGTAACTTCAGTGATATAAATAACATCCTTCATGTTGCGTTTAGAAGGAGTAAGTTGCACGATTCATTTCAACAATCCATCACTGTACTTGTGCTTTCCAGGCGTGTTTTCAATGAGTGAATCGTCCTCTGAAAAAGTTGCTGCTGTGTAGGTGAGAGAACATGTAGCTGCAGTCATGCTGGTGATCAGTGAGCAGGACAGACAGAGGGAGAGATTGGTTCTGTTTGAACAAACAGAGTTTGGAAATGATAACATTAACTGAATTTAGACAGTCTGTTGCATCACTACAGGGAGATGCACAATGAGCCTTTTGTATTAATTGATAATGACACCTGTGACCATGGCAACACAAAGATGTCACAGCCTAAAATGCTTAGAAGACATAAACACTTAAAAGTCAAGACCAAAATGTCAATGACGACAACTAGGGTTAGGTTTCTTTTCGTTTTTGTCAACTAAAACTAACAAAAATCAAATTATTACAATTCTACAAAAATGAATACACATTTTTGTATACATTAATAGATCAATATCCAAAATTAACACTGATCCAGGAAAAATAAAAACACTGGATGGATATGTTTTACAGTGAGGGATTTAAAAAAAAGACTGTGATAGATATGTTTTTTTGGAGATAACGTCATGGTTGCGCACAGGTAAGCTATTTCCTTAAAAACAGCAGAAACTCTTAAATACCTTGTTGTCCCAGTCTGACTGTTCCTGAAGAGCACACCAGGCCAGCTGGGCTGCATTTTGTTTGGCCTCCTTGATAGTCTTACCCTCACCAACAGGGTATTCCTTGTTGTTGATCACCAATTTGTAGAAAAATCTGTGTTGTGGGAGGAAATACCATCAGATTTTCTCTCTTATCTTTCAAGAGCAACCACACAGTGTCTGCAGGCTACAGAGGTTCAGTCATACTCACTGAGGACTATGTGAAGGACCACATCTTTGAATGAGGATGTAATCCGGAGTGGACCTTGTTTTCTGACAGTAGAGGTTGATGATTCCTATGAAATTTGTTTCCATAATACTGTTGTCTTCTGGTTTTACACTCAAGCTCTTTGTCCTTTCACTGTAACACAAAAACAAGCCACATTCTGATTAGAAACTTTAATAACCAATTCAAAGATGAAAAATAAAACAATGTGTCATCACTGTTTGTGCTCACCAAATGTCATCGTCATTATGACTCCCTTTTTCCGTTTGTGGACTTGATACAACATTGTTTTTTACATCTACAGTCTTAAAAACAGAACAGTATGACTACATTATTCATTCACTCATTGGAGCACTGCTTGTGTGACATTTGAAACATATACTTGAACATTCTTGGCCAAACTGACACTGACAAGCATTTTGGTTCCTCCATTCCTTCCCTCTTCATTTCTTTAGGACAAACTTGTGTGTGTCACGACTTACCTCGGTAGTGCTACTGCCATATTTGTCATCATATACCAGCTTAGCTGCTTCCTCCTTAGCTTCTTTCTTTGTTTTCCCAGAGGCAGTTGGATACTCCTTATCACCCACCACAAACCTACAATAGCTGTTACCACAAAGAGCTATTTAAAATACATTTGTCATCGTGGACACACAACTATAAATGAAACTGGATGCAATGTAGAGACTTACTAAAGTGTATTTAGTTGTCCGAGTCTGGTTGTCTCCACAGGGTTTATATTCAGTCTGTTCTTCTGACCGTATTCATTGAGCCAACATATGTAGTTGATGCTACTGATGCTTGTCTGATGACCTGGTGTGGTAGAAGCTTCAGCTGCCTGTTCTGTCTGTCAAGAGGTCATCAAACTTACAGTATATCAACACAAAAATGTATACATACAGTGATTAACTAAATTGATGTCACAATCTTACAGAATCAGATGCTTCCTCCAATAAGCCTCTCAAGGTATTTTTTGCTGCGTTCTGTTTGGCTTCCTTCTTGTTCTTGCCCACACCACCAGGATAGGCCTTATCATTCAGGATAGCTCTGAGGGTAAATCTGCAAAGTAATGAGAAGACCTTTGTTAATGAGACAAGAACTTGTTGTGATGGTGGTTGTTGAAACACAGAACATGAACCAGAACCCTTTATTGACATCATAGTGACGGATCCCTGAAGGCCCTCATCTGGAAACTAAAGATGCTGGAATGCAAGTATACGGGCAGGACATCTATCAGTCTAGATACTTTTGGACTGAAACAACTGTCCTTTCATTGTTTTGTTTTTTTTGTGCCTGACCGGATCATAAAACAGGCTGCACAGTGGCTCAGGTTAGCACCATTGCCTCACAGTTAGAAGGTTGCCGGTTCGTGTCCCGGTGAGGACACCTGGGATCTTTCTGCGTGGAGTTTGCATGTTTTCCCCGTGCAGCGTGTGTTCTCTCCGGGTTCTCCAGCTTCCTCCCACAGTCCAGAAACATGTTGAGGTTAGCTGGTGATTCTAAATTGTCTGTAGGTGTGAATGTGCTTGGTTGTCTGTCTCTAAGTATAGCCCTGCAATAGGCTGGTGACCGCCCTAAGTCAGCTGGGATAGACTCCAGCTCCCCCGCGATCCTAGATTATGGATGGATGGATCATAAAACAAGAAGACAGGCCTACTTTTTTCCTGAGTTGACACTGGGCTAGCTCAGGCACAGTTAAACTGTAGAGGCATCTCAAGAGCCACTAAGAGAAATATTAGACTACTTTTGGAAATTGGACATCAGTCTTTGTCATTATGGACTGTTGGGAGCAGGCTGATGAGGGAAAAATGAGTCAAATCAATTTGAAGATGAGCCTGAAATATAAGAAAATGTGAAAAAGCTTGAAAAGGTATGAAATCTGTCTGATTGCACTGTGCATTGCTGCTGAAACGGTTTTCGTGTCACTACTACAGCTTATCACGTTTCACCAGCATGCCACATCACCCAATATGCCATTGCTTTTCCCCCCACAGAGAAGAATAAATTATTTCTCAGTGTCATTTTGAAAGTTTGCACTAAAAAGCACCGCAGGATCAAAATATCTGGTACACTGAATGGCCTAAACCAGCATGTGGAGTACACTTTTATCCACCAACTTACGTCAACATGTAACTATTTGGGACATCAGCGCTAAAACACTATTCGAGCAAAAACGGATTTATCCTGCTAAAGACCAATATGTCTTCAAGTGCTGCAGGACTTGGCAGGTCGCAGATCCACCAGTAATTATGTTCAACTTACGTTTTTATGTGGTCAGGTCCAGTACACCCGACGTCTTCGTATCTCAGCTCCCAACGTTTCCTCTGGGCAAACTCGTTCAGTTTAGCGACGTAGTTTTCCGACTCCATCATGAAAACTCAAACTCAGCAGTCGGACAGCCAACCTAAATGACATAAGGCATCAGAACAAAGTGTACATCTCATAATAAATACATGTTTTCTGTGTTAACTGTATTTTTACGTCTAAGTTTCGTTTTCTCTGTAAACGTCACGGTGCATTCACATAATGTCGGAAATGCCAAACACTGTGTTGTACAATAAAGTTATCAGTTTAAAAAAAATGTCTAAAATATTCAAACTGTTCTAGCAAACATAAACCCAAGAAGCTCTAACCGTAAGGTGGGACAAGCTAGCTGTTAGCTGTTAGCTATCAGCTCTGTCAGTAATTACTTCAATGGATATTTGTATTTTAACAAACGTCTGAATCAAATTTACGTAGCTTGACAAAAAGTACATACCTTCCCGTGATTCACTTTGCCAAACAAATTTTGTTTGCACGTCGCTAAGCGTCATGGGATCTGTAGTTCTTCAAGCCAAAAAAGCTGTTGAAGAGGTTTAGTTATCTATCTTGGCCGTGTTCTACAAATCTTGTATTATTTTAGAGACACTAACAAGAGAACCTCACAATTTTAAGGTATTGTCTAATGTGAGCAGTAGAATCGTTCACAGTGACCAACAGGCAACTACAGTGCATTTACTGGTGCACTGTGTTTCATTACGGAACAAGCATTTGAGCCCCAAATGGTTTTTGTAAAATTGTAATTTATTATATTTGAGTTACATTTTTTATTTAACTAATTACTGCCCTTTGTCTGAAGTGACATAAGTGACAAAGACAGTAATAATAATAATAATAATAATAATAATAATAATAATAATAATAATAAAAATAACAACAACAACAACAACAACAACAATAATATTAATAATAATAAGAGGAAGAAGAAGAAGAAGAAGAAGAAGAAGAACTTTATTTTTATCGCATCTTTTAAATAAAACGAATGTCAAAGTTAGGCAAACAATAAAAGCTAAATTTAAAAATTAATAAGATCACAAACAACAACATATACAAGTCAAGACAAAGTTTTTATATCGCACATTTAATACACAAGTGAATTCACCAAAGCACAATCGTGGGCATAGTGTTCTTCCAGTTTATTGCTTCTTTTCTTTCACAAAACTTAAGCCTCATCCCTCTGTCCAAACAACTCAATTTTTGTTTCAACTGACCACAAAACTGATGACAAAAAGCTTTCCTCTTTGTCCAGGTGAGCTTTTTGTGTTGTTTGGAGTCCTTCATCCATGAAGACCAACCTTGCTCAGTGTCTGCTGAAGGACTTGCCTTGAAATGTTGGTACCAGAATTGTTCAAATTTATCAGGATGGTCTCAGTGTTGATCCTTGGATTCTTCTTAGCCCCTCACACTATCATTCTTGGCAGTGCAGGGGTCATTTTTAGGTTCCCAGCACACCCTCAGAAATTTTTCAGAGTTTGCAACTCCTTGTACTTTTTGATGACGCTTTGCACTGGGGCCACTGTCCCTTGAAAACACTTGGAATCAGATTTGCAACCTTTCTCAGTCTCGTGAGCAGCACCAATGCTCACTAACTGTTCTCAGTTCATGATGTAAAAAAACGCACTTGAACAAAGGTTAAAATGACCAAAAGACCATTTGGAAAAGTATAAAAGCTTGCATTATTTAAAAAACGAGAGACAATTTCAGCTATGTCCAGGATAAACCTCTCTATCACACTGTCTCACCACATTTTCTCGTTTATGTCATTCAGCCAGAAGAAACCTATTGGTCAAATAATAATTTACTGGAAATCAAAATTGTACTTTTCGGCCTAACAGTATGACCATCATTCAAGATCCAGAATATTGCATTGTTGATAAGAAAAAAAAATGAAACCAATATAAATTCCAACTAAGCACCTCAAATACACAAAGCAAGTATAATAACACTCCCAACTAAATCAAACCCAAAGTAAATTATTGAATTTAAATTACTAAAATAAAATAAAGGTAAAAAGATAGGCTTCATAAAACATTTAATGAAAACACAGGTACACAATTGCTCTTGAAACATTTCACAAAATTTTAGGACATCTTTTCGAAAAATAACTATTAAAATGTATCTTAAACTCCCCACAACATGCCCACAAATGTAAAGAAAAACTCAACAGACACAGTCCTTCTAGCAATGGACAGCAGATTCAAATGTGATGATAAATAAATCTTAATTATAATCACTTTTTTGCCTTGTCTCCAACATTTGCAGCTGCTTTTTCACTGGGAACTACTGCACAAAATTTGTTTTTGTTTTTCCCTCAAGTTTAATCATGGTCTGCTGCTGTATCCCCGGGACAGTTTGAGCACAAATCTTCCTCATCTGTAAAAAACAAAAGAAAAGAATTATAAAACAGCAAAGGTCATAAAAACAACGATAAAACTACAACCATGTTACCATCACTCTTACCATTATAGGTGGTCCCACACCATATGCAGTAAAAATGGACTCCTCTCAAATACGATGTCAATATTTGCAGTTTATCAAAGGACTGTAAAAGAGAAGCACAAATTAAATACACTTCAAAAACCTTGGGTGAGACTCCATGGAATCCTTGCATTTTGCATATATTGCAGCATGTGCCAGTATATTGATATGTGCTCTACTATCCTGTACTTTCGAGTTGGCAACGAGTCTTAACAAGTATGCAGTACAAAGCTGCAACAAATAGTCGATTAGCTGTGAACTGTTACATTTATTGCCAACAGTTTTGATGATCGATTAATCAATTTGAGCATTTTGTGAAAAAAGTCTGAATTCTCTGATTTCAGCTTCTTAAATTTGATTATTTTCTGATTTTTTCCCTACCATGTGGCAGTAAACTGAATATCTTGGGGTTGTGAACAAAATTTGGGTCATCTTGGGCTTTGGAAAACACTGATTGACATTATTTACCATTTTCTGACATTTTGTGGATCAAACAACTAATCAGTTACTCAAGAAAACAATGAACAGATTAATCAGCAATGAAAATAATGATTAGTTGCAACCCTACAGTACAATACGGTAGCATACATTAATTTGACTGAAACAGATTTTTGTTCAGAAAATAGGGTGACACATTATATGACACATTATATCACTAAATGAACAAGCTAAACAAAATACTGACAGTTAGTTCCACGATCTCCTCTTCTTCTTCCTCCTCCTCCTCCTCCTCCTCCTCGTCTTTAAGACCATCCTTCTCATCATCGGCATCTGCTTTAGGCCAGTACCAGTCTTCTCGAGGTACTGTTATGCCCTAAAATGAAAAGGCATGCCAACTAAGGGATTCACGCGCAGAAAACTAATTACGGTTTCTTTATTGATGTAGAGTAAACAGTGAATATGGTAAGCAGTTTTTTTTTCTCTACATTAAAGGCATTTTTATTTTTTCACTACAGAGAGACATATCAAAGAAGCACCATTAGCACTGAGATGTGCAGATGATTCCACCATATGCTCATAATTCTTCCTACCTTCTGACTGTCAAGCTGCTCACAAGATCGTTGACTCCTCCTGAGGTCGCCTTCAATCTTTCGTTCCTCTCTCTCTGTCCTTACTCTTGACCTTAAATAAAAAAGCACAAGATTACACACATAGCCTAAAAAATATTCTTTATTAGATAGAAAGGGACAATGTTTAGAGGCATTCTGGATTTCATAAGCAGCTGCAAGTTTTACCTAAAATCTTCTAGGGATTTGGTCTCATTCTGTTGTTTGGCTCGCACTTTTTGCCTATAATGTTCCAGTTCTTCCTCAGCTTTTCTTTTCTTTGCCTCTTCCATGCCAATGCCCCCTCTGTCTGATTGAATATAGAGAGAAAAGTACATAAACAGAGTTACCCATCAGTTGGATTGCACAAAATATAACCAAATACATTTTAAATTAAAAAACATATTGCCTACCTGTTTTGATATTAAGTGGAATTGGATCAACCCTCCCGGCTCCTAAAGAGATAAAAGAGGCTGGCATTAATACTCAGGAGGAATGCAAAACAGATTCAACATAACAGAATTTATACTGAGCATAAAATATAACCACAGCGTGTAATAGTTAAATTCTATCGACTCTTTTTAACATAGGGAAATGTGCATTTGCTGCACCAACACACGGCATCTCTGCGACAGAATGGATGTTATGAAACAACGAAGTACGAAGGAACTATATTGGAAATGATTCTGGGCAGATGGAGAGTGGAGTAGTAGATCAGAAAGTCAGCAACAGGGACATCCACCATTTGCAATGTGTAGTGCCACACATCTGCAGTACATAGTTAATGAGGTTGTTGATGCTGCATGTGGGATGCTGTAGCACTCTTCCTAAAGGACTTTGCAATAACGTTAGACAATTTGGAGGACAGGATCACGTTACTGGACCTGTCCATCCAGAGCATCATGTGACAGATTATCTATCATACCATGCCGTCTGAAACTACGTTTTTACAACAAATGGTGGAGTTGTGGACATTTAAGTGCCTGGCTACGATCCTAACCAACATGTCAACATCCACCATGCCAACAACATGCTTTTGTCTTTCTCTTGTCATGTGTGGCAATGCGTCATTTGAATAAAGCTGCATTTAAAAGTGGTCTTTCACAGTCTCTGGTGGAAGGTGTGTCAGCTAAAAACAAAATTCCCACAATTGGATGCATTTTCCTAACCAGAACAACAGAAATTATGTTCTTAAAAAGTTTCTCCCGGCTGTTTACATGATGCGTTTATATTTTTGTTGTAGTAGAAAACACACTTGCCCTCTTTGCCGAGGCCTTGACCAGCTTTGTAACCCATTTTCTGCAGAAGTGCAAATCCCTTGTTCTCATTGCTGATGGAGCTCTGCAAAGCTGTTTCTCGGCTTTCCTTCTCCTGCTCCTTGTAGGTCTTCTGGCGGTTCTTGATGTTCTTTTCCTTTTGCTGTGCCTCCTTTTTCATTGCTTCTTTTACCCGTCTCACCATGCTGACACCGGGCTTTACATCTTGACTAACAGACAGAAGAACAGAAAATAAAATTGACTGGGGTGAAATACAACGGTGTTATTCTGAAGGCAATGACTAACACATCCAACTTCTATATTTCTACAGGTGGCATTTCTCTGAACACTTATGGATTGATTTCACTGTTATAGGACGGACAGCACAGATCAATAAACGCAATAATTGTTTCTAATGCACCAATCGGGTTCAATATCAACAACAGCTGCGTAAAACACTTACATTTTACTAAGAAATGCATCAGACATGTAGTCCTCTTCCTCGTCAGACATTATAAAAGCACAAAAAAGAAAACAATTAGAAAAGAACAGCTACACTGCTTCAAAATTTAGCCGGTTGTGCATTTGTATGATGTTTGGTTCGTTCACTGATATATTCCGACTAGCTGCAAGGTAAAGTCTAAAGTTCCAGTACGTTTAGCAAAATATTCAGGGGAAAGCATTGGTGCTGTATGACCAGAAACGATGAAAAAAATGGTACACATAAAGTGACACAATGTTTGGTTATTAGTCTCAATTTTACTGGTTAAGTTACAGTATTCGTTCGGTTTCGCATCGGACCATTTTTAATGCGACACCGCGGATACTCGTCGTCATTCATCCTGGGTCATCGAAACACAGGTAGGATGGACAGTTTGCTCACATATATCTATAAATGTTGTTGTCGACGTGTTCTTTGAGCAGCTGAGTGTTTTTAAAGATTGCGACTTATAGTTGAAGCCGTGTTTGGGTGAGAGCGTGCAGCCGCAGTTTAGCTTTTTCCTTGGAGAAACTAGCTAGCTTAGGCTGCTAACCAGCTCGCCTGTCAACAGCTGGAGGCTGGCAGCTGTCAACACGGAACAGCAAAGTGTTAACGCTTCACAGCACTGACAATGAGTTTGATACATTTTATCCGACACATAAGCTCTAATTTAAAAGTGTTTAAAGCTTTGGAGCTGAGGTGCTGCTGTACGCTGTGTAGGCAACACCTAGACTGATTGTTGGAGACATTTAACGACAATATGGACCCCCTAATATGACATTGCAGAGACGAGGGTGTACAGCTCCGTGCTCAGAAGTCCTCGCCATGGAACTGGCTCACAGTCTGCTGCTCAACGAAGATGCTTTGGCACAGATCACTGAAGCAAAGAGGCCTGTGTTCATCTTCGAATGGCTCCGCTTCTTGGATAAAGTGCTTGTGGCCGCGAATAAGGTGACCATTCCCATTTAGGCATCATTTTTTCTGATGGGGTGTCGTGGTGAAGCAGTTTGTGACTTTATTTCGTTTTTGAATTGCAGGTGGATGTGAAGGAGAAGCAGAAGAAGCTGGTGGAACAGCTGACAGGACTGATCAGCAGTGCCCCAGGACCACCAACAAGAAAACTCCTGGCCAAAAACCTTGCTACCCTCTACAGCATTGGAGACACCTTCACTGTTTTCCAGACTCTGGATAAATGCAATGAAATAATCAAAAGCAAGGATGACACACCCGCATACTTGCCAACAAAACTGTAAGATCCCATATCATCACAGCATTGTATATTTTATTTGACTGTTTTTATACAACTGTGCATATTGACTCTCTCTATGAGCCTATACACATTTGCATTAAGACATAAGCTGTTCAGCGCTGCTTTCAGGCATATACAGTAGGCCCACCTTCAAGGGTATTAGCAGTTAAGCCAAGCGTTAATCTGCAGAATGACATTTTATGTTTAAAAGGGGGGATTAAGTGTACATGAGCAGATATTATGCTGTTTCTTGCTCGCATTAATGGAACCTAAAAGTGGTGTCAGTGGTGTCCTGCAGGGTTTTATTCATCCTTCTTGCTTCTGTATGGATTCAGAGGGGACGCAGGGTACACATGGGGTTGAGGACCTCCTTGCTTCCCACTCAGCTGCTGGGTTCCTCCTGCAGTGTTTTAGAATAGATGTTAATGTTTTTGAAGCTGTGAGTTTAAGTCTATTTCAAGACTGAGGTTATTAAACCAGTATCACCAGTTATCAATACAATAAAAGCCAGTCTGAAAGTTTATGGCAGGTCAGTTTCTCACAATGATTGCTTTGCAGTTGTTTCAATTGTTGTTTGTTTCAGTTCATTTAAGGTGATTTGTAATTTTCTTTGAATGTTTACACTTTCCTTGCAGGGCTGCAGTGGCATGTGTTGGGGCTTTTTATGAGAAGATGGGCAGGATGCTGGGAAGCTCCTTTCCAGACACCATTAACAATCTTTTGAAGGCATTAAAGAGTGCAGAGGTATAATTATTTTTGAAGTACAAAACTGGGAAATGTAATATAGCAGTTAGAGAATTGGGTCCAATTGTACATTGGAATATAGGAACAGTAATAGATCGTTAAAGAGATCTGTTATTCAGAAACTGATGCGACAACTTTTTAAATTTGTTTATTTTCACCATTGTTTTATTGATATAGTCCCAAGGCAGAGGAGAGATCCTTCTCAGCCTGCAGAAGGTGCTCAGTGGACTGGGTGGAGCTGCAGCTTCATGTCACAGAGATATTTACAAGAATGCCCGCTCTCTACTCACAGACAGGTCCATGGCCGTTCGCTGTTCGGTTGCAAAGGTTTGTATCAGCTAAACACCTAATGGAGCTGTGAAGCATTTAACAAAGTAAACTTAGTAGGCGTAGTCAAATGAAGGATGCATCTTTATTATGTTTTCCTCTTTGTTGGGATTCCTTACACAGATGGAGGATTCTTACAAACTGATCCAGCATTATGTAGTTTAATTGTCAAACACATCTAGGAATTCTTCAGCAATACACAAGACAGGTGGTGCTTTTTAGTTTCCATACTACCATACAATATATTGTGCAAAAAAAAAAAAAAAAAAAGTCCCAGTACAGAGTTTTTTAAAGCAGTATGCCAAAACACCAGGATGTTCTAGTATGGCCAGTTTTATTTTGCAGTATGCAAGCTAGCATGGCCATCCTGACCTTCAGTCCTCTGTTCAGTGGAAGATAAATCGCATACATCTCATTGTTCTGTGTGCAAGTATAAACTAGCTTGAGCTGCCAAGAGCACACAGACAGTTGACAGCTCATCTCACACTTCCGACTGTGACGGATATATCGGTAAGATGGTCAAAGCATAAGGCTCAATATTATGACAAAGCAGTGTGTTCCAATTGTCTGCATATTGCATGCAAAAGAGTGTACTGAAAGGAAAAAGGAAAAGTGTGCAATGTGGAACAGATCAGTAACACTGCAGCATGTTAGTAGGAGTACACTCCACCACTAACTTTTATACTTGTGCTGTGTCATTTGTGTTAACCAAACTCAGATAGGTTGCGCAAATCCCCTCCCTTTCTTATTGTGAAAGAAGATTTCCTGTTTAGAAATCATGACATCAGTTGTATCATATATGGTCCAAGTTGTGTTGTTAAGCTGAATATACATAAACTTAGTGATCACCAGTATGTCTGTAGTAAATTATTTTTTTTCTGTACACTCATAATGCAGTTATTAATAAGAATATCTTTATTCTTCTTGTCTGATCAGTGCCTGTTGGAGCTGCAGAATGAGGCAGTGTTTATGTGGACCACAGAACTGGAGAACATGGCCACTTTGTGCTTCAAAGCTTTGGAGGGGTCTAACTATGGTGTGCGGGTAGCAGTGGCCAAACTGCTGGGGACGGTCATGGCCACTGCCCTGATGCCCAAACAAGCAGCTGGTAGGACTGGTTAAAGAGTTGCTTTGTGTAGATCATGTTTGTTTACTTTTTATATTAAGTTTACTAGCTCACCGCTTTTGATCCTAATTGTCTTCCACAGTGATGCGTCAGAATGTTAAGCGGGCCACTCTGGAGGAGGTGCTGGAGCTGATGGCCACCGGCTTTCTGCGTGGTGGATCTGGCTTTCTGAAGAGCGGAGGGGAGATGTTGAAAGGGGGAGGCTCTGTCAGCAGGGAGGTGCGGGTGGGCGTCACACAGGTGAGACGTATTCACTAGACATAACAGGAATAAGAACATGCGTTGCTGAATTGGACAGTCTCATGCATAATCCTGCTTCTTACTCCTCAGGCTTACGTTGTGTTTGTGACAACACTTGGTGGTCAGTGGCTGGAGCGCAACTTTGCTACATTCCTGTCCCATGTTTTGGACCTTGTGTCTCACCCACGGGCCACGCAGACACATGTTGAGGCCGTGTACTCCCGCCGCTGTGTCTCCTTTATGCTACGCGCCACCCTGGGGGGGCTACTTGGAGAGAAAGCACAAATTGCAGCCGGCAAAGAAATCTGCCAAGCCATCAGCAAGCAAATGAGGGCTGTGGGTAAGGAGGATGGGGGGGAAATATCACGGTTCAGAGCACTGCAGAGTAAGTACTCATCCATTATTATCACCTTTAATTCATGCTTCATTCTTTTTCTTTAGTTTCTGCATGTTTTGTGCTTGTGTTGTGTACAAAGATGGCTTTTCTTTCTTTTGCTTTCCTTCTTGCTTTTTATGTTTGCTTCTTTTGGATCACTGTCCGCTTTATTGCATCTCTTTAACCACAAACAGCATCTTAACATCAGGAACATTATCCATTGCCAGCTCAGCTTATGAATTACTCATGCTTGCATTACTGCATAGCCGTTGTAGCGTTTTGCTTGCGAATTCACATTCTGTTATTGCCTTGCACTCCCTAAGGAGAAGATGACGTAACGTTTTTCTCACTGTTGACATCTGGCTTACACCAACAGAAAGACTGCATGTGCCACTAAATTTACAAACACGTAGTAGGATGAAGCCGTTTTCCCCCCACAGCAACTTAACAATGTTTGCGGCACCAATTTTCCTTTTTTTCTGCTTTATGTCATCACATCAATCATTTTGGAAATCACCTTTATCTCATTCAGAAAGGATGATTCTTACTCTGATTTGCTGTGCAACCTTTGAACTGATGTAAACTATGTCAAAACGACACTATTTTGTTCATCTCAATGTTAAGACAGAATGAAAGACGTTGAAAGACTGAAAAAGATGTTGAATGTTGGTGTCTCTCAAGACATGATCCAGCTTGACATTTTTACTCTATACTTGCTGCTGTAGCCTTTTCAACCAGCCAGATCTTTGAGACTTCTTGAAATGAGACTTTGACAAATGTCTATACTAAGTGAAACAGGGAAAATGTTGCCATGATGGAAGTGGGACCTTCTAGTGTATGTCCCCCATTGTGTTAAACAGTTGATTCCTTTTGGATGGAACAAAATGACTGCCACAGTTCAAGAAGCAGCTTTTACATCTCTTCCTTAAATTAGTTTTTCCTTTTGTGTGATCTGTCTTGACTATTGCCTATTTAGAGCTCTGAGGATTTCAGATCTTGATTAATAAAAATCAGACACACTTATCAGCAATTCAATTGAATGTTGCTCTTTTTA